AACTAGTACTCTAACGCATTACTTTTTAAATTCAGTAACTCAGTTACCGTTACTACATGGTGCGTTACTGCGTTAGTTTTTTTATATAGTCAACAGCCAGGCGAACAGAGATGAGAACTGTACTTAAGTACAGTACTTGAGTAAATGTACTTAGATACTTCCTGTGTCACATGCGGAGACGGGCTGTGGGCGTGTTTGTGTTGTTTACTAACAAGACTATCATGGCGGCGGCGGAGCTCAAGTCTAGTTTCTCCACCTGGAGATATTCTCACTATTTCACTTTTGTCGAGCACAAAGAAAAGAACGTTTTAGTTAAATGTAAGTTGTGTCTTGGCGGGTCAAAGATCCTATCTACTGCCCAAACCAGTAATTCAAATCTCTTAAAACATCTGCAAAAACAACATGCTGGGACGAAGCTAATAGCTAAGACCACAGAGACTCAGCCGACGCCACTCCACCTCCACCTAAGCAACAGCGGCTGGATTTTAACCAAGGGACTGCTAGCCAGGGAAAAGTCGATAAAGCCATTGCACGGTATGTTGTAGAACACGTGCAGGCTATTGCTACAGTGGAGTCACCCGCTTTCAGGGAGCTAGTTAGCATGATGGCATGTCCGGGCGGCACACGGCATATGGGACGGAACACTTTTTCCAACTACCTGGAGAAAGAATATACAAAAATGGAAAGCCAGCTAATATCGAAGCAATCCAGATTGCATATAATGCATGTCAAGTTGATCAACAGATTGTATTATTCTCCAATGCAATGACAGTACTGAAATGAAGGCTATAAGGGCATTAATGGGAGCCCTTTTTTTAAGTAACTAAAACGGTACTGTTCACAGTAACGCATTACTTTTGGTGTAAGTAATCAGTAAAGTAACTGAGTTACTTTTGAAATGAAGTAACTAGTAATGGTAACTAGTTACTGGTTTTCAGTAACTAGCACAACACTGGTCGTAACACATTTTACTCCCATGTATGGTGTCGGTTGTCTTGTGGGCTCATATACACTAACACTGAACACAGCATTTCCAGTTTGTTCCATGCCTCTTTGTTTTTGTTCCTTTTTAACCCTGTATGACACTGGTTAAAATAGTGTTTATGTTCTACTGATAAACAATCAACTGTTGATTTAATATTATATTAACTGAACTAATTATCTTGTACAACTTCAAAACTGTGCTCAGAGATGGAACTGTACAATTGTAATTATTGCCCTTTATTAGGTGTATGTGTATATATATTCAAAATTCCTAAACAACTTAAATAATTATAAAGTTGCCCTTAATAAATACATTTGATCAAACTGTAAAGATATTTAATGAAACATGCTCATTGTTAATTTAGCAAGGTCTTTATTCCTATAGGATTAGTCTCCATTAATCACCTCTTTATTGACATCATGTATCGCTCCATACAAACCCACCACCTTCACACTAGTACAGTACACTATAAACTGCAATGGATTCCATGCACCTTAATGCCCTTCAAAGGATTTACCAAATGCCTACTTCTAATGTTAAATGATGCCTCTTCTAACTTGCAGCTGGTGCGGATCGCAAAGGTACTCGGCACCGAGGACCTGTACGACTACATTGACAAGTACAACATTGAATTGGACCCACGGTTCAATGACATTCTTGGAAGGTAAAACATTGGAGCTGTTTGACCTCGGCAAAGTATCAACATCAATTAGCACTTAATCCCTTGGTTTTTTCTCTACAGACACTCCCGCAAAAGATGGGAGAGGTTTGTGCACAGCGAGAACCAGCACCTGGTTAGCACGGAGGCTCTCGACTTCCTGGACAAACTGCTGCGCTATGACCATCAAGCCCGCCTCACGGCTAGAGAGGCCATGGATCACCCCTACTTCTGTACGTTTATTTCCCATCTATTTTTTATTACCATGTCTTCATGTCTTGCTTGAGTAAATTGTCTCAAAATCTGAGCGTACTACATTAAGTGTCTTCATGTGTCAACACGTGTTTTTGGTTCATGAGGCACTCAAATCCACTTTTTGTTCATAGATCCCATCGTTAAAGATCAGGGAAGAGGGGCCACTCCTGGAGGGATGGCTGCAAGCTCAACACCAGTCAGCTCTTCAAGTATGATGGCTGGTAAGTAATACTGCACAGGAAAACACAAATAATTCTCATAATCTGTCTATATAGGTTAAATTATAATTTATATAAGTATGGCTGCAATTGAGGATTATTTCCATTATCGATATATTTAATGTTGATTATTTTGTAATTTATCATTTGGTCAAAAATAGAGAAATAAACATCCCACTTTCTAAAGTCCATCTTTTAATGCCATGTTTTGTCATCCAAAATCCCAATCATATTTAGTTTTATATGATATGAAACAGAGTAAAGCAGGAATTTTCCACATTCAAGAGGTTGAAAACTGTTAATCAAAATAGTATAATGCTAATGTACTGAGAATATGTAATAATGGAAATGTGATAACTGAGGAATTCATTTGAAACAAAGTACCAACTGTCTGTCCAATTAACAACAGGAAAAACCTGATCATCTGACTTTAAGATGATCTGATTTGTATATGATCCATGCTCTGTTTCTCTTTATAAGCTATTTGCAGATGAAGTAGCCTTCGCCTGACCCACCAATTGTTTCTTTGTTTTTGCCAGCTCAAACTAGTTCTGCTTATCACCTTGTAGTGTTTCCATTATCAACTCAAGCCAACTTATCTTCACCTGTTCTCTCAAGGAGTCACAAGGCTGAATTATTCTACAATATAATGTGTGGCGACTCATGCTTGGTGCAATTCACTTCAGAATTGAGTGATTGAACCCCATTTTTTTTTCTTCTAAATAAACTTATAAAGACAATTTGTTGAATGACTTTATCTGATTTCCACCACAGTAGTTAGTATCAGGTTTCTGTCCATTGACTAATCGTTTAAGTTGTCCTTATGCATTTAGATTATTGAAAGTAGCATAATAAGCTAAAACTATCATATTTCTTCAAATGAGGGAAAAAACTCTTTGCAGCCAAGGAAATGTACATGTTTATGAAATGTTACTTCACAATCTGACAGTTTCTTTGACTTCAATCAACGTTTTATCTCTAACTTGAGATGTCATATAAATGGTGTAAACCATTACTAAATGATTAATGAGCCCACTGTGTCTCCTAGGAATCACCTCAATGTCCTCTTCACAGCCACTGGCTAACATTGCTGGATCTCCCGTCATCTCTGCGCCCAACACCCTGGCCACACAAGTCCCTGCAGCCACCGGGGCTCAACCCTGAAGCCACTTCCTCTCCCGTATTAATGTGTGCTCATGGCCATGTCCTGCCTAGCTCTCACTGCGGCCCAGGGCCACGGCTCCCCTTTTTATGTTGAAAAATAACAAAGAAGAAGATTTAAAAATTGCTTTTCACATTCAGTTATATTTTGACACCTGGACTTGACAGAAATGTATTGTTGCACCTGTCAGGATTATTAGAATTAATTTGGGTGTGTTATTTGACAATGCCATTGTCTAGAAACTCTAATAAGATGTAGACATGAAGAGAATGGATAATAAAATTTATTTTGTATGTTCCAAATATACAGTCTTGCTTGAAACTGTTTGATGGGGATCCTGCTGTATTACACTGTGAACCTTGACAAGACTTCACAAAACAAGAGTCGGGAATCTGGTGTGCCCCACCTATCAGTGCTCGCTGGTTGCACATGATGTAATGTGCAGGAGTTGTTGGTGTTTTGAAGTTGTTAGATGCTATAATTCTTTAATTGGACTTTTGTAGATATTCTACAGTTACTGTCAGGTTGCATGCACCCAATGCTGAGTATCACAGGGTCAATAGTTTGCCAATTTTATGTTACTTTCACTTCTATATGTGTATGTATGTGTTCATGTTTGTTTTTTATGAAGTCTCTTACACATGATTTTGATTACATAGACAATTTTGTAACTTTTTGTTTTATGTTGGGAGGAGTCATCACCTACAAAAACAACTTCAAAAATAAACAATTTAAACAGGGCTTGCAGACACTACATGTTATTGAGTATACCGTCTGGTGACTGGTCACATTATGAGTGAATTAAAAGCAGAGCAGTGTAGTCAGTGTATCCCAATAAGACACATTTACTTTATGACAATGAAACAATGTTGGCACCAAATTACTTGGAGAAAGTTTATTCATAGTTAATTTCGCAACCTTTTACATGTTCATACATTTAAATTGAAACAAAATGACTGCAATGCATTTGTCCTTAATTACTTGTACCTTTTTCTTTTGAAATATGAAAGGATCATATTTTTGTTTTTTTACAAAGCTCTTTTTAAAAGAAACAACTGCAATGAAACCAATTTGGAGCTTAGCCTGTGTCTGTCAAGTGCTGGCCAACTTGTGGTGAGTATGTGCTTAGATCATTTTAGGAAGAAAAAAAGGCAGGACCTATAAAACCGATCTGAGTTAAAGATGTTTGGCAAAAACACAAATCATACATTCAGTAGATGACTCCAGCTATTATCTTTGCAGAAGGGCCTGAGGTCAAGAGGTCAAATGTCAGTTGTTACAACTTTGCAGGTAAAAACAGATTCACTCATTCACAAGGACACAATTGCATGTGCTATCCCACAAAGTACAAGACTCAAACTAAACACAGCATATGAAAACTGATCACACAAAACATATTTTATAATATGTTATCTAAAGCTGTTTTAGCAGCACTTTGTCAACGGAAGTAGTTAGATTCAAACATTCGGCAATTCCGGTGCTTTTATAGTGTTGGAAATGCGGACACTGAAAACTTCTCTTGTTCAAGTGCTTGGGATGAATTATTTCCTTTGACATTTCCTGCACTCTATCTTATGAATAAAGAGATACCACAAGGCTACATTTCCCCTGCAGCTGCGCAATACGTTTTCAAATGCCAATGTATTAATGTAAATGTAACAATGTAACGTATATTAACTATATGTAAAATGGAGACACATATTTCCAATAGTCACTGAAGGCCGCATCAGTTGCTCCAGTTGTGACACACCTCGGGTGCTGCAATAGTGGGACAGTGGTGTGGTATTTTAAAGTTTGTATAACGTTTTTCCAAAATGGGTAAGCTAGGTTTTATCTCGATTGTAATAGCTGCCTTAGCGTTGGTGCTCGGACAGAGGATCCTAAACCTAAGGTACAATGCAAAGCAACTCCGTTAATGTCGAAATGTTTCGGAGTTTGTTACGATGTTTTCATCATGCACACACGGTTTTTATTTACCACCTGACCAAGGCTAACGTTTGCTTTATAACATTGCAGGAAAAGGGCCTTCGCTTCAAGGGAGTTGGCCCAAAAGCACCTCCCCAACTGTGTCTTACTTAAAAATATAGGTAAGTTATGCCATAAGAAAATGTAGCAACATTTTTGATAAAAAAATAAGCAAAAGTTAACGGTGCAACTCTCGGTACTTTACTTTCAGATCATGGCTCAGAGGATATAACGATCACTGGAGACGGGCTGGCGTTTATCAGCAGTGTAAGTATGTGAATTACACAGCAGCCTTATCAACAAAAAAGCCCTCTGACCAGACTCTAACAAAATGTCAGTCATCAGAACCGTTAACACGTGGGACATAATCTTATTGTTTTGATGTCAAATGTTCAAGCTTTTTAATAGCCTCCATGAAATGCATTATTATTCATTAGTGATGCAACACACCATTATTTTCATAAGCGATTAAAATGCCAAACTTATCCTCGAATCATATATACATTGTTAATTAAGTCTATAAAATGTAAGGATATCGTGAAACATTTCCATCACAGTCTCGAAGAGTTGGTTTGCAATTTGTCTACTCAACAGCCCATAATTACATTACATTGCATTTAGCTGACGCTTTTATCCAAAGCGACTTACAATAAGTGCGTTTGACCAACAAAATACAAACTTGAAGAAAACAGAATCATATAAGTACATCAGGTTTCATAGAGCTAAAACATTTCAAGTGCTACTCAACTGGCTTTAGGTAAGCCAGCCCTTTATTAGTATATAAGTGCTTTGTTAATAATTCTATCGCTCGAAGTGGAGTCGAAAGAGATGAGTTTTCAGTCTGCGCCGGAAGGTGTGTAAGCTATCTGCTCTGTCCTGATGTCAATGGGGAGCTCATTCCACCATTTTGGAGCCAGGATAGCAAACCCACGTGTTTTTGCTGATGGGAACTTGGGTCCCCCTCGCAGTGCGGGTGCACCGAGCTGTTTGGCCGATGCAGAGCGTAGTGCACGCGCTGGGGTGTACGGTTTAACCATGTCCTGGATGTAGGAAGGGCCAGATCCATTCGCAGCACGGTACGCAAGTACCATTGTCTTTAAGTGGATTCTAGCAGTTACCGGAAGCCAGTGAAGGGAGCGGAGGAGCCGCGTGGTGTGGGAGAATTTAGGAAGGTTGAAGACCAGGCGAGCCGCTGCATTCTGGATGAGCTGCAGAGGTCGGATGGCACATGCAGGTAGACCAGCCAGGAGGGAGTTGCAGTAGTCTAGGCGTGAGATGACGAGAGCCTGGACCAGAACCTGCGTCGCTTTCTGGGTCAGGTGGGGACGTATCCTCCTGATGTTGTAAAGAGTGTATCTGGAGCAGCGGGTTGTAGCAGCGATGTTTGCAGTGAAGGACAGTTTGTTATGGTCACACCCAGATTCCTTGCAGTCTGAGTCAGGGAAACAACTGAGGTGCCGATGTTGATTGTCAGGTCAAGAGTGGGACAATCTTTTCCCGGAAGGAAAAGCAGTTCAGTCTTGTCAAGGTTGAGCTTGAGGTGGTGAGCAGACATCCACTGAGATATGTCCACTAGACAAGCAGAGATGCGTGCGAGGACCTGGGTCTCTGACGGGGAAAGGACAGAATTAATTGGGTGTCCGTCAGCGTAGCAGTGGTATGAAAAACCATGCGGGCTAATGACTGATCCGAGCGAGTTTATGTACAGGGAGAAGAGGAGGGGACCAAGAACAGAGCCCTGAGGGACCCCTGTAGTTAATTGACAAGGGTCGGACTCGGACCCTCTCCAAGTTACCCTGTAGGTACGGTCTTTGAGGTATGAGGTGAGGAAGGAAAGTGCAGAGCCTGAAACTCCAAGTTCTTGGAGAGTGCGAAGGAGGATCTGATGATTCACCGTGTCGAATGCAGCAGACAGGTCCAGAAGGATGATGACAGAGGAGAGGGAGGCTGCTTTAGCAGTGTGCAGTTCCTCAGAGACAGCGAGGAGGAACTGAGGAACAAAAAAAAGTTAGTTCATATTGAGTTTATCCACACAAACAAACCGAATCATTACACTGGTGAGCCATGGCTACACAAGGACAAAGCAGTGAAGCAATGCAGTATTTTTCCCATCACACTTTCAATAACAATCACCTATTCTATCAGGGATTCTCTTAAATATAGGATACATGGCTAGCATTTCTTAAACTGCAGACATTTGTTATTTAGGACAAACTATTTTTATATAAGAGTTAGGCCTTAAAATGTGACCCGAAGCTGGACTTTTTCACCTTTTCCAACACTGTGCATAATATCATATTTGTATATATATATTTCAAGGGCCTGAAGTATCCCGGACTTCCATCCACAGATGTGACAGGAAAGATCTTCTTTCTTGATATGACAAATCCTCGGATGAAACCAGTGGAGCTGCGCATGCCAAGAAACTTTGATCTGGAGTCATTCAACCCTCATGGCATCAGTTTATACACCGATCCCAGTGGTAAAAGCACTATGTGTGATTGTACACTTGCCACACAAACAAGTCTCTACAAGAAAGTCTCTTAAGGGCAAACGGTCGCTTTCTACTGCCTTTGAATCCAGATTCAACAGCATTCATATTATCAACAGGTACACATTAATAGCACACTTTTAAATACATTTTAAGATAGTAAAATAAGTACAGTTCAGCTGACTGAAAAACTACAAAGAACAGATTGTATTTAGTTGCTTGACATTATGTTGTGATTTGGAAGGAATATCTAGAGATGTGATTCTGATTAATTTCTAAAATAAGGGTAGTCTTAAGCCATGCTTGTCCCTCTACTTTTACACACATACTCACTCACACTTTTAAGTTTGGTTACCTGCTTTTTTATTTACAATGCTTTCTTGTTTCTCATCAGATGACGCAATATACCTGTTTGTCGTTAATCATCCTGAACACAACAGTCAAGTAGACATATTCCACTTTGTCAGGGACGACCACTCACTGGTGCATCTGAAAACCATAAAACATGAGCTTCTCCACAGGTATGACATGAACTGCACTTAAAATGTACTGAATATATAGATGAGGTCATTATGCAAAAACATTTGTCAAACTATCCTTAGTTATTATAACAGTTATTTTTAAAAACGTTATGAATTATTGTATATTTAAAAACTCAATTCTGTTCTTATTTTCTTTTCAAGTGTAAACGATATTGTAGCATTGGGAGTGGAAAGCTTCTATGCGACCAATGATCACTACTTTACCAATGAATTACTTAAAACTTTGGTGGAGATTCTTCTTCTTCAGCCTTGGACTAATGTTGTGTACTACAGTCCTGAGGAAGTGAAAGTGGTCTCTGAGGGATATTACTTTGCAAATGGTGTTAATATCTCACCAGACAAAAGGTAAGACTTATATCCTGGGCTATGCATTTGGTCATTCATGCTTTCAATGGCTTGCTTTCTTACTTTAATATTATGTTTTATTTGTAGGCATGTATATGTGGTAGATCTATTTGACCACAATGTGCACGTGTTGGAGCGGAAAGAAGACAATGCATTGGTCCAAGTGAAGGTAAAACATTAAAGTTTTTCCCACTGATAAATTATTATCATCAAACACTATTTGTTTTTGCTATTATTAGACCAAGACACTTGTGCTTTAGTTTTTAGTAAAAATGTTGACAAATCAAACAGTAATGCTAATTGCAATGAATGCTCAGCTCTAGTTCATAGTACATTCAGAATGTATTAGGGCCACCAACAGATTTTCATTTAAACTGTCTTTACTTTGAAATACAAGTAACAGGAGTCAGATATACAAATGATTCTTCATGTAACATGATTTAAGAGCTGCATAAAACCATGCACACTGATGCTAAACAATAAAGGAGAGAAGTCCAAAATGAAATTGATTTGAAGATAAATTAGTTATTGAAGGATATATGACACCAAGATGCATTATTAATTCTAACATTGTCTATGATACTCCACCAGGCTGTGGCTGTGGGTTCACTTTGTGACAACGTAGAAGTGGACGCTGTAACTGGTGACCTGTGGTTAGGCTGTCATCCTAATGCAATGAAAGTTCTGAGGTTTGACCCAACAGACCCGCCTGGATCGGAGGTTTGTACATTCACTTTGACTAGAAAGTACATTATGCCTGACAACATTACAAGAACAGAAAAAAATACTCTCATTACCTAAACAGCAGATCCGTCTATTCACACATATTCATCTCGTTTAATTTCTTTCTTTCTCATGATTTTGTTTTATTCAGGTCATTCAAATCAAGAACATTCATTCAGATCAGCCAGTGGTGACTCAGGTGTACGAGGACGACGGCAATGTGATCATGGGCTCCTCTGTTGCAGCTACCTATGGGAAAAAGTTGCTCATTGGAACTGTTTTCCATAAAACCTTGTGCTGTGATTTGGAGTAGGCTGAAGATCAACTAGCTAAGATGTAGCTAAGATTCATTAATTGTGTTTACATGATTGTATAGCAATGAGCACTGGGTAAGCATGTTAAAAGTAGACACAAAACCAAAGTTACTGAACGTCCCAGATACTCGTATTACCGTGAAAAGGTATTTAGAAAACAATATATTGTATTTTTTTTTTTTTTTTACATTTGCTTACCTCTATCATGAAAATTATATTTAACCCTGGTCACCTAACTGCACACAAATGCACTGTATGTTACCGACTGCTTTCATATATATTTGTTAATGTTTTGTATATTTGAATAAAGACATTAATAATACAATCCATACGTCATGCTTCAACTTTAGTTTTCTTTGTGGTTCAATACATGCGCAGTGTGAAGAAACACCGTTTCCAGACAAAGTACTTCACACAAAATCACTGTATATCAATCAGTAAGATTAAATGATGGTTAATAAACAGTATTTTCATTGTTTTTTGTAAAACCCATAGTTCTACCACCCACAAGAAAGTCAGGTCTTTAAAGCATTCACTAATAACTATTACTTTTCAAGCTTCTACTGTGCTCTACTTTTTATTTAGATTTTCAACGTAATTATTTTCAATGCTATAAATTCGGTGTCTGATCAAATTCAAATACTTCTGTCTCTTATTTGCTTCCATACTTTGGTGTGTCTATGTAATTGCACCCTGAACCTCTTCCTGTGTGACCTTTATATGCACAGAGAGTGTGTTTGTAATCCTGGCAGCCATGAAGAAAGTACTGGCTGCTGTTGTTGCTGCCTTTGCAGCTTTCATTGGATACAAATTCCTTAAACTAAAGTAAGTACTTTTTCATTTTGATTAGAGACCACATTTGGAGGTATAATAGAGGTTTAGTTGTACTTATTTCCAATGTTGACAACTGTTGCTTAATTCAGAAAGAAAAGATCAAGCAGGAAGGGAAAATCTCTGTAACCAAGCCCTGCTAGACTTGCAGGTTCTGCTTTGTTTGCCTATGAAAAGCGTTGTCATTTTTAACTTTTCTCTGCAGTGAAATGATGCTTGCTTCAAGGGAAATGCCTGTGAAACACCTCAACTGTCAATATTTGAAGAATATTGGTAAGATAACTTTATTTTAATTTCATTGTCTTAATTTGGACGTTTACACGGTCAGAGATGTTCTGTTTAAATGCATTTCCGTACTTGGACAGCTTGTATGCCAAATGTGAGCATACATGAAGAGTTTAAAGTCCCAGTTTCCTGCTGTAGGTCAAGTATCGGCTGTAATGCCAGGGTTGTAAAATTAAATCAGTGAAAAAGATAACACATTTTGTTTTGTGCAGAATATGGGGCAGAGGATATCACAATACTGAAAGACGGTCTGGCCTTTCTAAGCACAGTAGGTTATCAAAATTGTAGCATTGTTGCATGAATCTAAAACACTGCATACTCAGTTTCCTTTAAAAAATGTGAAAGCATAGGTCAACTTTCTTAACAAAGGTTGTGAATACCAGTTTGTTTGCATATTTCTTGAAGTAAATACCTACCCAGGAAAAATGTCCACTCTGCACCAACATCTCATGCTGTGTTTTCACTCAGGGGTTGAAATATCCTGGACTTCCTTCGTTCTCCGATGAACCAGGGAAGATTTACATTTTAGATTTGCTGCACCCGAAGCCAACTCCAGTCGAGCTGCAGATCAAAGGAGAGCTGGACCTAAACTCTTTCAACCCACATGGCATTAGTGTATACACTGATGAAGCAGGTAAAGCACAAATCATGTACAACATCTTACAACAAAATAAAATAAATGATGTGCATGAAATGATCAGAACTGTCAAATCAATGTTAACATTAAGGTTGAGCTTTCATCTCTCTTTGTAAATTCATAACCTATGATTTTATCTAAGTGGACAATGTTGCAAACAAAGCTAAAGAAGACAGGAAAAACTATCAAAAAGACACCAATTAGAAGAGACAAATAAAGTACCAGTTCTTCACTTCAAATATGTCCTTTGGGTACTGTTGTTATGACAAGCATTCATCTAATGCTAACCAAGTAAAATGGACTGAAAGTGAGTCTCAGGTATTCTGTTTGTTCTGTTCAAGAACATTAAAGGCAACATGAAATAGTGTATAAAAAAACAGTCCGTTTTATAATGATGTATATTACATTCAATGCTCTGGAGGACCCTTTTGTCGTTTCATTGTATGCAATGTTTAAAAAATAAATAAAAGGAAAGGAAATACAATTTGTCAAGGAGCTTAATAGCTGCTTAGCTTTTACCAAAGGTTTTTGACTTGAGATGGAAATGAGCAAACTCCTATACTCTTGTACAAAGCATCTTATCTCTTTGAGATGTATGTTCTTTTTGCACATGGTCCCTGCCAACTGAACCAATAAACTAAACTTAGCATAGTTGCAAATTGGAAGTTTCTTTACTTATTTTCATGAATTAAAACCAGATTTCTGTGGCTATTTTAATCCTGCATTTCTCCTGCAATAATAGTTTAATGCATTCACATTTAGTAAATTGTTTTTATACATTTATTTTGGTAGTAGTGGAGACAGCCATTCAGAAGGGTTAAACTGTACACCAGGGGATTTGATTAGCAGGAATGCAGTATGTAATCCAGTGATACTATTTGTACTTTGATCTTATTGGTTTTACACTTAAGTGTTCACTCCTTATCAGAGCTGCCTTTAGTCCCGACCTTTAAGTAACCCAACATTTCACACTGTTGTTATCTCACATTAAGAGACTGGACAAATACCTTTTATTTTGAAGCAGCCACAAGTAACTCTCAAGTTGACTGTAATCGTTAATCAAAAATCTGTCTATAAAACCTTTTCTGGAATCTGTGGTGTTAAACCTAGCTACTGTGTTCAAAATAACCTCGTGTCACTAAATCATACGACGGAAATGTTAAGCTTAATTTTTTGTACTTAATTTCAGCATCCTGTGAGGTCAGAAATAAATGGAAATTGTTGCACTCTAAAAGTAAAAGACACATTTCTGTTTGTTTGCAGATGACTCTGTTTACCTGTTTGTTGTCAATCACCCGGAACACAAAAGCCAAGTTGAGATCTTTCATCTTGTTCAGGAAGACACACTTGTGCACTTAAAAACGATAGCCCACCCCCTACTCCACAGGTGTGTACTGTACGATCAATCTTTAACAGTATCACACCTTTTACATTTGACAATCTATTGAAGCGTTTTATCTCATTAATTGTGTCTTTCAGTGTAAATGACATTCTTGCAGTCGGAAAAGAGAGCTTCTACGCCACAAATGATCACTACTTTGCCAGTGATGTGCTCCACTTTTTGACTCTCATCCTGGATTACCCCATGTGTGAGGTGGTCTATTACAGCCCTGAGGAAGTGAGGGTGGCAGCCAATGGCTTTCTGTCTGCAAATGGCATCAACATATCACCTGACAAACGGTTATTCTCAATTCATCTCAGCAGTCACTGCATCTGCTTGTTTTTTAAACTGAATGTATTTCCACAGCAATATGTTCCTTTTGCAAAGCTAAAATAATAAAACACGAATATTTTCTGTTGCACAGTTATATTTATGTTTCAGATATTGTTGGCCATGACATCAAGGTGTATGAAAGACAACAAGGGGAACAATTAAGGTTTCTAAAGGTAATACAGTGTTGTCTTTTTTTCTATTGAAAACAATTAGAGGAAAAGGTCATTTTTGGAAATACTCTAATTAGTTTCTTACTGATAGTAGACCCATACAGCTAGCAGCCTTTTAGCTAAGCTTAATATTAAAACTAGAACTCCCCCAGTAAAACCTTAAATTGTTAAAATGTTGTACCTCTTTGCTTTGGACATGTTAGTATTAGTAAGTGGATTTTGTTTTGGGCTTGCTCTTTCCAGTTTTTAGTAGTATCCACCTTTACATATTACTTCTGGCAATAAAGTAATTAAAGTGCATATCCAAAAAGTAACTTGAACTGTGCTTGTATTGTAACATAATCCTTAAAAACATTATTTATATATCCACATTCCTCCCTTTGTATCTGTATTTCAGGAGGATGGATATTTAATGATCAATGAATTGTTTGTGATGTTTCCAACCAGTCTGTAGCTGTTGGGTCACTGTGTGATAACATCGAGGTGGACCACAGAACAGGTGACATTTGGCTTGGTTGTCATCCAAATGGCCAGAAGTTGGTGAAGTATGACCCTGAAGATTTGGCCGGCTCTGAGGTAAGTGGGCATATGTTTTTGTTTAGCTTTTTAATCAAACAATATTTTAGCATTTGAATTTGCCTGATCATTTTTAATTCTGTTTCTTCCAGGTCATCCGGATCAAGAACATTCTCTCAGAGAAACCAGTGATGAGCCTGGAGTACGGTGATGACGGCCATGTGCTCGTCGCCTCCACTGTAGCAGCTCCCTTTGAGGGAAAGTTGCTAATTGGATCTATTTTCCACAAAGCCCTGTATTGTGATTTAAAATAATCTGTCTACTTTGTATCTAATGATTTTTAAGGAAATTAATGTTGTAAGAAAGGATTTGGATGGACATGGGATACAAAAATAAAATCTTGATTCACAATTTTCAAAATAGTTTTATTTTACCGAACACAGACACTGGCTCGTTGTGAAGAAAGAAACCATATAACATTAAGTATAATTTTCACAAAATGCAGTTTGTTTCGTGATACAGGACAGTATTTGTTCTAGTTTTATAGTATGGTCTTTCGAACAACACAGACTGATTGATTCCACAATAATGTTAAAGGTATAAGAAGTTATGAGAACATATATTTTATCCTTTTTCGTCTTTGTCCATAACCTCATTTTCCTCTACTACCTTAGCTATTGTAAATCTAGTCCCTCCACAATGAGGATGCTGCACAATTTCCTCTTCCGTAGTATTTGTCGAGGGTATAGTGAAGAATATGCCATCACTTTCTAATGCACAACTTTCCTCCTCCTTATCTGCACTCACACATTGTGCAGGTTCAGTTTCTCTGTTGCCATCTTGCATTAAAGGACGCGCCTCGCGTTTGCTTTTGTCCACAACAGCGATAGCATTTATGAACACTTCACTGATGCTCAGCATGCGTCTGTGACGTGGCGAGTGATCCAGGGTCTGGATGTTGTTGGCCAAGATGTCGCTGCAGCTCTTAGAGCGATTTATGTTGTATGCAGGCAGTGTTTTATTTGCTGTGGTTCCAATTCCCTTGATGACAGTGCTGTAGTCTTCCTCCTCCTCTGATAAGAAGTTAAAGATGTCAATAACAGAGCGCTTTAATTCTGGATTGTGCTTCTCCTCGACAGGCTCGGGTTCCAGATCATAGAAGTGTCGGTGCCTGTGCCTTCTTTTCTTAAACACTTTGTGAGCTTTCACTACCATGTGGACATTCCAGCTGAAGAATAGAGACAGCCAGGCCAGGCCCATGTAGATCCATAACTCTGCAAACACTCTGTACAGCCTGGGATATTCTATGTTTGGATTTACACCTGAAATGAGAGCCAGTGGACATTCTTTTCATAGGACTTAACAAACCAAAACGTTTAGAACCACAGAGAAACCTTAACTTAAATGAAAACGTACATTATGCTAACGTAAACCTACCTGCCACATAATCTCCAAAACCAACTGTTGTGAGTGTGATAAAAGAGAAGTAGAGGCCCTCCAGGTAGCTCCATCCTTCAATAGACATAAAAACAAATGGAGGGATCACCAGGTGCACGACCAGCCCCCATAACAGGAATAAGGCTGTGCATGTGAATTGGACCTTTTTCTAATGGAAGGGAGAAAAAAAACACATTAGATCTTCATGTTAAAATAACACAATATAACACCCTTTTATTAACAGTGTTCAGAAAAAACCCAACTCCAGCTTTCATTTAAATTCTTACCACTGAAACCTTTTTGTGGATTAAAACCTGGGACAGACGTTTGGCCCGGTCTCCAAAGAATGAACCCAGCTGGCTTATCCATACCAGACACAGGGGGATCCCACACAAACCATACAGGATGCAGAACACACGACCACCTTGAGTCTTAGGAGCAACATTACCATAACCTGTGGAATACAGGAGTTAATATTAACACACACATCTAGACTTCAATAATGGTTAGGTCATTTGTCAATCATTTACAGATGGGAAATAAAGCATTAAGGATACAATTATAAAATAATCTTCAAGACAATTTCAAGAGTTGAAAAAGGTTTTGGGGTGTTTATGACTTATGTTCACAATACCTTACCTCACCAAAAAGTATTAAGAATTATGGAAGTATTACATGTTGTCTGTCTTTATGTGTTGCATTAAGATCGACTAGTACACTTCTCTGTGGCACCGCACATAAAGTGAGTTAATAAATAAATAATGCGAGGTGTATACAAGACTTATTCTGTTGCCAAATATTTAAAATGTAACGTCACATTTAACTGCTTTGAGTGCAATATGTTTACATAAAACAAGGATTAGTTTTTTTTTGTTATCAAATATTGTCAGTGTCATACAAACCTATGGTGGTGACAATGGTGGCAGCAAAGATGATAGAGTTACCCCAGTCCCAGGTGTTCCGCTGTTTGTCCCCAGTGATGGTCACACCTTGGCCTGCAGCATCTGACACTATCTGAGACAGTGGACACAGTAAACTCTCAATAAAACCCATTCACATCCCCCTATAACTTCAGCAACTACTTTAACTTAAGAACACCATAAACAAACTTATTGAAAACGTTTACAATGGCTTATTCAAAAATATCAACTTCACAACTTCCCTGCTGCCATTAAAGCGGACACACCCTTAACAAACATTCAAATATGTGTGCGGAGGAGAAAGACATGCTCATGCACGCTCACTGTGCTGTTTAAAACCAAGAGTGCTCGCAAAATGTCCGGTGAAATTCGGCTTTAACACACATGAACATGACATAAAAAACATTGAAGTGGTTTTATAGTCAGGCTACAGGTTGCTTTGGCCAGCATACGGTTGTTCTGTTGTTAAATCAGGTAAAACAGGTTCTGGTGTGTCCTGACATGTAAAGACGAAAAGCTTCTCTTTCACCCCTCAAGGCTAAATAAAAGGTAAAATAAGGCAAATCAAGCTGTTAACATCTGTGAGTTGTTCACATGTATTGTATTTGATAACTTAATGTGACTTAACAAAAGCATACATGCTTTTACCAACTAGGCTATACATAGTTGGTCAATCACCGCGAAAAGTTACGTACACATTTGCCTACTTATCTCAGTCATGTTAATCTCCTGTCATAAACTGCTATTAAAACACGTTTCATACCTCCAAAATCTCATCCAGACTTTCCGCTGTTAAGCAGGTGTATTTCTTCAAAATGATTTTCTTTTGTTCGATATACTCGTCTCTGGCTGTTTTCCAGTTTGGCTCTTCGAGAATTTGAAATATTGCAGCCCCGATCGACAAGTAGAAAATTATACATGAAGTTAATAACGGACCCTTATCTGCCATATTAAAGTCATAACTTCAGTCTATACGTCGTAGTGTAGCTTTTATTCCTGAGAGGACTGCCCTTATCCTACCCGCTCAGCTTTCTTCCTGGTAGCCTACAACACAAAGCATTACGCTCACACAAACTCAGATCCATTGTCCAGAGACATAATTTCATCAGATGCTTGATTTATAGACTTATATAATGTATATGATCAAATTCCTATTGATACAAAAAAAACAGTGGAGAAATGCAAAAACTATGGAAATAGCTTAAAGGGTGTCCACATTTCCAAGCAGGTGACAAATAGTTTTTGTAGATGCCAAATCAGCATATTCCCCCCTTATTTTCAGTATAATGAACAGTCTTATTTACATATACATCATTATGTATAAAATAAAAAGTATTCAACCTGTCTATACTTTCTTACATGAATGCAGAATACCGGAATGAAGCAATTATAGAAACATCCGACAGGGGGCAACACGCCCTCAGTAAGCCACAGTTGTGAGGAGGCATGCCTGCATTTTGTGACTGAGGTTGTGTGTGTTTGTGGTGATGACAGTTGCTCTTATCTTCATCCAGAAGACTGGAGTTGAGTGTGACACACTGGGTGGATCCTGGCTGCTCTGCATGATAATGGTGAAGAGGTGTTTCCCACAATGTGAGAATACTGCATGTGTAAGAATGAATGATTTGAAGAATATACTCGAGTCTATCTATCTATCTATCTATCTATCTATCTATCTATCTATCTATCTATCTATCTATCTATCTATCTATCTATCTATCTATCTATCTATCTATCTATCTATCTATCTATCTATCTATCTATCTATCTATCTATCTATCTATCTATCTATCTATCTATCTATCTATCTATGGCACTCTACAGTATATCATGGCTCACTGCACATACTAAGGACAGATTGTTCATCACAAGGAGTATTAGTCAGCTTATAAAAAACACTATTGTATTGCCCATGGGAAGTGTATTTTTTGTTTCGTTTTAGGTATAATACTGAGACAGATGTTCCAGCTGTAGCAGCTGCCAGACAGTGATGTGCTGCACCTTAAGGGAATTCACAGTGCTTTTGATGGGAGAATGAAATGGAGCCATGATATGTGTGTTTGCCGTATGCACCTGATGCACTGATGTAGGATTAACCATGAATTTATAGAAAATCGTTTGAATATGTAAAAAAATATACACCAATTGGTATAAATGTGTTTCTGAAATTGTGTTGAAGAAATCCTTAAATAACTTTCATACTCCAATCTTTCTCCCTTTTTGACAAAGCAGATATTTCTATTTGGAATTTTTCAGACATTCATGTCAAGTCACAATCAGCAGAACACATTTTTGAGAGGTGAAGGGGCTCTAATTTATATTTGGGGATTCACAATAATCAGTAAGAAAACGTATAAGTAATACATTGCCATTTGATCCTTACTTACATGACATCATAAAGAAAAAGAAGGTGATCGTCAAGGAACCAATCAGTAATAGAGTTTACCTATATTAATCCTTGGATATACTGGAACTACATGTTAATGTAACAATTTGTATTCTTATGTTGTTACTTGCTAAAGACATGTCTAAGTGTTTAAAAAAAAAAAGAAGCAGAGATTAATAGATACACAATAGATTACACATGTAAACACAAAACAGCACCCCCATGTGGACCCACCAGCAGAGTTGGAAAGCAGAAATGTCTCAACTTTGGCTGGTGGCTCTGACTTTGCTCCTATCAGTTGTATTTGACTTTTCACTGGCACAACGTTTGCCTTTGTTTAATGATAGCTTAATATTTGACCACACATTCCTCTGATGCCCAGGCCCTGATTCTGAAACTACACAGGTAAACGCATGCTGTACCTGTTTTTCACTTTTGCAGGTGATATTTTAAGAAGGAATCCTTTGTGCCAACATGAACACTCTTCTATAACTGATGCCTTAAATGCATATCCATCTGTGTTGAGGCAAGTAGGATTATTTAACCATCTAAGAACTGGTCTAAATTATATTCAAAACATATAATATATATTATTCTGAAAGGTACCATTTAGCATAATACGTTTTTTACTTTTGGTATATTTTCATGCTTATACTTTTGCACTTTTACTTGAGTAACCTTTTGTTTGCAGGACCTGTATTTGTAGGAGAGTATCCCTACACTCTTGTAGTCAGAGGTGGGAGAAGTATTCAGATCTTGCACTTGAATAAAAGTAGGAGTACCAGAGTGGAGGAATACTCTGTTACAAGTAAAAGTCCTGCATTCAAAATGTTACTCAAGTATTACCATAAAAATATACTAAAAGTACCAAAAGTAAAAGTACCTATTATGAAAATTATCTATTTCAGAATAATATATATTATATGTTGTGATCATACTTGTTGATGCTTTAAAGTGTTATCAAACCTGGTAAAGGTGCAGCTAGTTACTTTGTATACTGCAGGGTATACTTTGTATACTGCAGGGTAGCTTGTGAATGTTACTCCAGGTGTAACTAAAGTCTTATTTAAGTGTTGATTTTATTTCACATCGTTAAACAAAATCTGCAAAGTAACAAAATCTACAAAATAAATGTAGTGGAGTAAAAGTACACGATTTACCTCTGAATTCTAGTGGAGTAGGCTAGAAGTAAAGTAGCTTAACATGGAAATACTCCAGTAAAGTACAAGTATCTTAAATTGTACTTCAGTACAGTACTCGACTAAATGTAGCCTACTTTAGTTACTTCCCACCACTGCTTGTACTTTTACTCAAGTATAAGATCATCTGAGTAGTGTTTCCACCTCTGTAAGTAACGCTCCCACCTCCACTCCACCCATCAGTACTTAGTGCTTCGTCATTGTGGCTGCGACACCGCCTCTCTGTGGAAACCTGGCCGAGAGTCTCCAATTTGTTCTGAATAGAAACACGGGGATTATGGCAACAAACTGAAAGTGGAGGAAACGCACAGAAGATACATCTATCTGCTCAGGTATGACTCGCCTGCACGCTATTGTGTTTACATTTTACACAGCTATTCCTGCGAGGCTTTTCATTTCGTGTCTGCTCGCGACGGCAGTTCGTTTAGAGTTCACTGAACCGTATTTAGAGGGATTATGTCAAAGATGTTTTTGCTGTTAGCTACCTGGGGAATAAGGAACTAGGACACCTAGCCTCCTGTAGTCCTCCTGTCGAAAGCATGCCAATATTAAACAGAAATGTCTACCAAATGATTGTTGTAAGGTTGCATTCAAAAGCCCAGAGACTCCAGGCCCTTCATACTTTGTAAACTAAAGATACCGAGTTTAAAATGTTATAAACAAGGAAACACAACCACAGCTAAACAGGCAGGTTGTCCTAGAAATGATGTAGGCCTACTTTTGCATGGATCTATTTAGTATACCGACAACAGAAAATGAAATCTAAAGAAAAGTGTTGGTGATAATTATTTTTGATAAAACAACTGATTTGAGTCATCTATTACCTGTTTATATGCACTGTTTCTGGGTGCTAGCACTATTTGCCATACTTTCAAAGAGCTATTCATCTTCTGATTCAGGCACATTAGCTATAAATTCGTTGTTGATGTACATTATTCATTTAATAAGAAAAAAGCATGGTTAAATGTAACACTAGAAAATGTCTTCGGATGTTTAAATGTATACTAATGTTGAACATCATTATGAGTTGTATCAATTGCACAACAGTAACCTGCTTGGAAGCATTCGAGGATGGATAAGAAGGTACTTTTGACAAATAAAATGACAAACAAGGTGCAAATTGATATGCACTAAAAGCAATTGAAAGCAAAATACTATAGGTGGACCACTTAATGATGATTTTACTGACCACCTTTATATTATTTGTTTGAGTTTTGAAATAAACTAATAAACACAAACTGAGATACGATAATTATTCTATGTTAATAATTTGAAACAATTTGAAACTTCAGCCAACACCTACATCTCATCGAACCATGTGTGCTGTCACTCTTTTGAGTATATTTTATAAACCCATGAATAAATGAATTTGTATTTAGTATAATATTTCTCTGAACTGACACACTTTTTTTCCATTTCTCCTTCTCCCTGCTTCTAACCTGGTCTCGGATTGTCGCCAAAAATCTTCAACATTGACATGTTGTGAGTATCTTCTTTATGGTTGTATAAGTGTGACAAAGGCAATTGGTATTGTTTTGCATACAACACTAACAATTATATTACCTTAATTTATATACAAATGATTCCCTCTTAATGTACCACGAATTGATTTTAAGCTTTTGCAAATAATGACTTTAACAAAACAAGCCTACTTCCATGCAGCTGCAGAGACGCATTTCATTTTTATGAATGCAAAGATTCGTTGAAGTCCTTACTATTTTTAGAGAATATTAATTCTCAAGATTTCTATTTGACCTGCCACTCTTCCTGGCATCTGAGTGCAGACCTTCTCTGTATCTTCTTTATCCATTTTATAATTTATTTTAAATGTATTTGCTCGTTAAAATGCTTTTCTATCATGATTCTGACTCCATTTGCGTGGGAGTAGTTACCACTATTTCTCTACAATATTATGGACTATTTCTTGTACTTTCTTTGTAAAGAGCCATTTAAAAATGTTTGCCTTTTTAAAGTGCAGCATTAAAAAGATCTGAAAAATACATTGGGATGGAATCCCTTTTAGAAGTTTATTGGCTGAAATTACGCTTTCCTGCTGTTGTTGACCTGCTGGTAACTGCCCACACTACTTTTGGGAGGGGTAGTGTGACCGTGTCAGTCTGAAGCATCTGGACGAAACACATCTTTATCTCTCATGAACACATGCTTCTAGCATGCCTCGGAACTCTGTATTGACGTCGTAGAGTATTATTGGCAGAGATTCCCTCTCACTCAACAAATAATGTAGAACTAATAGTTTGGTCTTTCACTATGAAGCTTTTTTATTGTTAGACTCTAAGTTCACATATTTTTACCCGGATTGCAGTGGGTATTGAAAGTGTCAGTATAGAGAAAATGTTTTTATTTTAGACCTGTCCCACTAACTAGTCAGTCAATGAAACAGCATGTATAATTGGATTCATATACCATCTGTCCACCAGGGGGCAGTGTAAACTAACAAAACATGGCTATTTACAGTAGCATCAGATGATCAACACATTTGTAGCGTGTACTTAGGTGGCCTAGAATGTCCGACACAATCTGTTCACCGTACCGTGAGCCCCAGGGTACAGCTTTTTATTAAGAGGTCTCAGATAAAATCCAAGCGTATGCATATTAATATAAGCATTTCACTTCCAATCTGTCTACCAGCTGCAGAAAAGCCATGATTCATTTATTTTGGGGAAAGTTGTCCTGCCCTATTCTCTCTATTATAGCACAGGAGGCACATAATATGCAACATAGACATGTCCTGACTCTTCCCCTAGGAGAAAACATCATGCTGTTTTATTTAAATTATCTTAGGTGTGCATGAAGGGGAGAATTCAAACGTGGCCTATAGGACAAGAAGGATAGGGGACATGTCTGCTGGCAGAAAGGAGCTGAAACATGGAACATTCCTGGTTCATGAATTCTTCATAACATAATGGTGCACTATGAATATTGATGCACTGCTACCATCAATCCCGTTAGTGCTTTTGAGAGCTCTGTTCGTGATCACAAATAAAACCCCTGAAACTATGCTTCCATCACATGCACTTATAAATTATAATTCATATTTAAAGCATTTTTTAAAGCTGCACAAGTTGTTTTACATAAGATACGGGAGGGAAGGCGGCGTGGTGTGTGTGATGTGTACCCAGATGCAGTATTGAAAGTCAAAGAGAGATGAATTGAGTGCCAGTGGTATTGGACATTATGTAATCACTGAGTGATGGTGCCAGATAGGGATAAAGATGTTCCAAACAAATACAACCCCCATGCACTCAGCTGGAGCAATGCACTGCAGCATCTCATTTGCCTGTTTGGCTGTGCTTTTGAGCAAATGAGGAAGAGTGATGGGGGAAACAGAAAGTGCGCGTCAGTGTTTTGGGTGTGTCGTCTCAGAGTCTGTGGTTCCAGTCTGTCAACGTCTCGAGGGACTGTTAGTGCTGCTCCTCCTCTCCTCCCTCTCGTTTCTGTTTCTCCTCCCTCTCCTGGGTCCAGCTCAACACCTGCTCCTTGCAGTAGGAACAGGGCAGGGCAGGGGTTCCTAAGCAACTGAAGGCAACGCGAGTAGTTCATGGAGCCTTTGTTTCTCTTTCTTATTGTCTCTCAATTAACTCTCTCACTTTCCCATTCAATCCCAAACTGAAGCAGCACTTTAAAAGCAGCTCTTCCTAGCCGCTGGGATTCGTCAGATGTTTGCAGTGGTGTTACAGTTAATGTTTAACATTAGCAGTTGTCATCATGCTGCTTATGTGTCATCACTGCGTTCAGTGATCAAAGTCTAAAGACAAAAACATGATCACCAACCAATGTGCAAGACGGAAGGTTTACGTTTCTGTGCTTTGATGTCTGCATTGATTTGTGATACCTCTTTTGGACTTTATGAAAGATTTACGGACTCATATTTCTACTGGTAAGACTTTTATAAACATATTTTACACATAATATTGCACAGAAATTACATATGACAGTGCTATGCATGGCACATTAACTTTCCTCTGTGAAACAAAGGTGATGATGCCTTAGTGTAGCTGTGAGAATAATGAACCCCTCTACATCCCCCCCCCTTTTTCAGCCCAAGAGCCGTATGGGCCTAATGGGGTCAGGCAGATGGGTGGGGTCCATAAAGACAGCTTGTATGTATGTGTATGCACATGAGCGGACGCACATGTGCTGGTGCATTATTTTATTTTTACATAGGAGGTTGAGGTAGGATAGATTGTTGGACAGTTTCTAGTGATTTTTAAATGGTGTCTCTTTTAATATCTCACCATTTGGCTCATAGTTGTAGTCCTGACAACCTCATACTGTGCACATGAATGCACCACGCTGCTGCCTGAAAAGACTGGGCAGGACTCTAAGGAATATTCCTGTAGCCCCCCTCCTGTTTCTGGACATTGTACTGTGTTAATGACTGCACTCTTTGGCCCCCATTCTCCATGCCTATTTGGAACGTTTGTAAAAACGTTGTATGTGTTGTACCAACATAGTAATGAGTTGTTTCAAAGCAAAAACTACTGATATGCAAAGAAACCTGTCGTTTATCTTCTATACTTCTGAAAAACTCTGGGGTGTTTTTAAGGTTGGCTTGCTGCAGCATCCAAACATATGTTTGACATATAGGCCAATATTTAGCAGCTTTATATGAAAGTTGTGTGTCCATGTCCTCCATCCCGGCATGTGGCTGTGAGCTGCTCGGTGCTCCGTTGGTCAGCTCAGGTCCGAGCCTCGGAGCGAGACTCCTCCCCTTTACGAGCGTCGGACACCTTCAGCACAACAAAGCATGTGTCGCTCCGCAACATTGTTTCTACTCTGAACGTGCGGAATAAAGGATTTTGTCGGATTTTTATAGCATTTGCTTTCCCATTGATGCTATTCCTGCAATAGGTAAGCCAAATGTAAGATGTGTGTTGGTGGCGCGGTGGGGATGAGTTGGTGTTTATTTGTTTTGTTGTACATTCGGCGCCATTTTCATACACAGATTGTTTAAATACCCCGGCACGCCGGCTCGATACAGCCTGCAACTATTTGTGCGGTTATATTGACACAAAGTTGGAAATGGAAGTCATGTTTGACTATATTACTGTGTAAGATTTAAACGGTGATTTGTAAAGGCAAATTGCATTTATAAAACCTTTCTTTTGCACAATTAAAACAGCAACTCGCTGTCTTACAACATCCCGATAAATCACAAGTGCTCCGTAAACTGAGGTGGATGTGTTGTTTTTCTAAAGATGAGTGGACATGCAAGTTATCTGTTTACAAAAAATTGCACTAAGCTGGTTTATTTTATGAAAACTTCGGTAAAGGGTGATACATTCTGTCTCATCTTCACGTACAAGTACAGCAAAGAGGACATATCATATGAAATTATTATTATAATATATGATGTATTAGAGAAACAAAACCCAATATATTGTTATGACTGAAAATAACATGATTGCCTTATTGTATTCCTTAATAATTATTATATTAAATAGTCAGTCTTCCTCATGATGCAGCTCTTCATGTTAGGAGGTTCTTGGTTTGGATGCTTCTGTGACTTGTGTTACACAGCTATGTGTCTTTTCAGATATATATTTTTTCATGCTGTGTTAGAGATGGCATTGCTTTTGAATTTGATTTCTTCTGCTTGACCAGACTTGCCTTTACCCTCGAGAGGATAGTAAAGGTAACAAATATCCATCTTTGCTGGAGGGTGCCATATGTGAATTTGTGTCTGTGTTCTTCCCATCACACATTAGGAGAAACTCCTCCAATAAGCCTCCCTTGATGAATGGATAAATATGGATAAATATAGTCAGATTATCTTTTATGTAGTGCTGCATATGACGTGGTAAGGATGAGAAAGAGCCATGGGTGGCATTATTTCAGTAGGACTGGCAAGTGTAACAGAAGTCAGAGAGTCAGCTGTGTGAGAGTGAGGTCAGCGAGGACCCAGAAGAGATTGCTGATGTTAATCCTCTTTTGGGAGTTATGATGTATGTGTGCAGTTAGACTACTCCTCTGATGTGTGTGCATCACTAAATACTCACTTACAAGTAAACACATAAACAGTCCATTGCTCTTTTCTTTAAGAATGAGGGAGTCTGTGGGTTCTAGCTTGAAGGCCTTTATAAAATCTAACTTTACATAACATTTACAAAAATAATAGCAAATTGCAAAAGTAAATAAATATAAAATATAGATATAAATCTCACTTTCAAGACACAAATCTGTTTTTGTGTGTGTGTAGAACATTAAACATTTCTTTCAAATTGTGCACTAAGGTTTAGTATTTCTTCAATGGGCTTGGTCTAAGGGGATGTTGGAGACAGATTCAGAATTGCTTTCAGGGTAACCACAGTAAATCAATCAAGCTACTTCAGTCTTTTCCCATGTCGGTTCATGTTACAGCATCATGCTCACAGACCATCTGTGTGTATTGATCAGGGAAGGGTTTGGGATAGGTTTACAAAGAGGACTTGACTAAAATAAACCTTTTGTAGCCCAATGTCTATCACAGAGTACTCTCAAGAGATATAGTATCACAGAAGCCATGATTACAATGCTTCCTACAAAGTTTGATCCTGAAGTTTTAGCCACTCAACATATCATAATCTTAAAAGCAGGCAGTTTTATTTGACCTTTTAAGGATCCTTCAATAAGGAGTACATGACGTACCCCATAATGATTTTGCGTTTGGGGGCCTTCTCGCCTATTTTTTGTTTTGGGCAAGATTGGGTCTGTCAGCTGAACATATGAACAGTTTATCCAGGCACGTGTTTGCGTGTATGTTGGCATGTGGGCCTGTGTTTACTGAGAGAGGTTAATAGGAGCCACCATGTGGCCAGAGGACTGATATTTTGGCTTTCTGTTGATTTCTGTTGATTTTAAGCCAGGTAGGCGGGGCTCCACATAAAACCATGAATCAGCACAGCTGATAGCCAAAGCGCTTCTTCATACCCTCCCTACTCCACACACACACACACACACAAATGCATGCACCTCCAGAGCGGCAGACCCGAGAGACAGAGGGGGGAGACACTGATACTGAGTGAGATGGATACTGTAGGCAGGTAAATGGTTGGAGATAATCTCACTTGGGGGACGATTAACTCTAAACTCCTTCTAATTCCTTAAGCCTACTCTCAGTACCGAGGAAACATGCTTTCTTTGTGTCCCTATATTGCTGCTGGGTAATGTTATTGTGGAACTCCATTCTGCAGTGTCCAGTCTCTGGTGAATTCACTCAAAACAAATCAAATATTTCCCGTCGTCTTTTTTAAACAGTCCTATTGTGGTGTATGCATTTGCGGCTGTGCACACATGTGCATATGCGTGTTGTGTGCAGCGCACTGTGAACAGAAATAGATATGAGCTATTCTGTAAAGGGCTAATGAGCCCCAGCATCCTAAAGACATGTAGCTATTTATATACTATACCTCCTCCTCTCCCCATTCTGCTCTCGTCTCAATTCATCACACACGCACAGCAGAAGCAGCTCTTCAGCATCACTGGCAAATAATATTAGAGTCTTGGTATCTAGAAATTGCTTAAATTGCTTCTTTTTTTTAAAACTGGAGACTTGGATTTAATAGTAATATAAATGAATTGAACCGATTTTGTCAATTGGTTTGGACCTTTTTTTTTGCATCATTTTAATGAGAATAATTAATACATTTCGGGTCAAACTGTTTAAGCTAATTCATTAATTAATTTGAACCCAATGTAAATCAGTTGTTTAATCACATTTAAAATCTTCCTGTAGGAACATTACATTAAATTGATAGTCACATAAACGTTAAATCAAATCCTGATTCCCCTCCAGCCCTGGCTTTTGCACCTGATCCAGCAGCTCAGAGCAGAGAGCTCACTCTTGCTAGAGGGTGGCCTACTTCATTTATAATTTAGCTAATTAGAGCCACTAATTATGTACGATGGAGGGCAAATTTATTTTACAGAGCAGCTATATTTCATCTAATTACCTCCAAACCAAGCAAGTGCATTGTATTATGAGACATTGATGCTTTTTAAGAAAGACATAATCTCAATGGGTCCTGATGCAGGTTAGCCCTGCTCAGCTGGCTGATAGCAGAGATGTTAGATTGGCAACACAAAATGGAGGAGGCAGCAGACACAAGCTCAGCTGGTCCATTAGGAGCATGTCTGTGCCCTGACAATCACAATTGAGATGACAGAGCATTAAAAGACCCAAAGGAGCCCGTGGGCATTGATGCATACCGGTGTGTGCGTATGTGTGTGGTGACCTAGGGAATAGGCCGATGGGGGGTCCTGTGGGGGGAAGGGTAGGCAGGATTAGTTATAGTGTGCAGCACAGTTATTGGTCATTGGACACAAACAATGGGAGGGCTAAAGAGGATTTGGTTTGTGTGCGTACCCCCTACCCCCTCCTGCTGTCCCGCAGTGCCGGTAGGAAGTGTATGGTATAGAGGGCCGGCCTGCACCCTTTGGGACGGCCTGTACATCTGGAAGATCGGGCTGCCTGTCTGCTTGTCTAGCATCCCCCTCCCCCAATTCATACAAGGCAGGGTGGGACTTGAACTACATATGGAAGAGACAAACACATTCGTCACCAATTAGACAATGCCTAGTTCAGGACAGACGGGATGTGGATCGGTCTGAATGAGGACACACATTGATTGTTATGAGAACTACTGTAACAGATATATAAGGAAGGTGTGAGGATTGCATAATACTAGTGATTTGCGCTCTTTAATAAGCTGGTTAAAGTGTCTAAATATACCAGAACTGCCAAACTAGTGAATCAAAGTCGTGTTCATTGAAGTCCCTTCTGCTGTGACTTTAAATCACATCATTGTATAATAAGTCACTTAGACAAGTACGCTTGCACTGTTTGTTACATATTTAAAGCAGCCTTGGTATCTCACATCGCTGTTGCAATTTTATATTATATTAAACTGAATATTTTGGGGTTTTATACTGACAAAACAAAATATTTAAAGACTTATATCAATTGTAATGGACTCCTTTATGACATTTTATTCAACAGCCGATTATTATGTAACATAATTGTCAGATTGATGGATAATGATCATAATTGTTAGTTGCGGTCCAAACAGAAGGTAACATATTTCCTTATATCTCCTGTATTTTTCTGCTCATTGCTTCGCAGCACCCCCCAAAGTGACCTCATCCACCAAGAACTATTGATTGAAAGGATTGATTAACCAATGTATATCTGCATATAATGTCATATCGCCCTAGTGCCTTATATGACCTGTGCAGGGTGGGCGTGTGGGCGCAGGGCATGCCTGGTGAGGATGATGCAGGCGCTGCTAATATGCAGCTCCAGAGCAGAATGCCTCCTTTGTGTCAGTGAGATTTAATGAGTCTGTGATGAACTCACTTTCAGAACTCTATGTAGACACAGACATACTCTTCAACAAGGAGGGCTATTGTGTGATGAAGTGGTGTTTGTGTTTGTGTGAGTTAGAATATAATCTGTGGGTGGCAGTTGGCTTCATGTTTTATGGAGAATGTCTCATGTATGCCACTCAGATTATGCAGCTAACAATACATTAAAGCAGCAATTTAAATTCTTTAATTTGTTATTTACCGGCTATTAGTGATAATAATGCATGCATATATATTACCCTATTTGCATAATACAATACAACTCCTAAAAAAAGAAATACAAGCCTCTGCTGATCATTTGGGATTGAGCAGAGTAGATGTTTTGTTTTTTGTGCAATGATTGTTTTCAATATGAATTAAACTGCTTTTTAATCTACAAAATATTACATTGTGAAATTACAGTGAAAAGTAATTATTGTGCTAATAGCCTACTTCTCCTAATCTCGTTTGTTGTGTACCAAGTATAGCCATGATGATGTGCACCGTCACACTGTAAAGCACCATGACCTTCCTCCACCTTTTACTCTCTTCTGTTCTCCTTTCCAGTGGCTACCATGACAACAGAGGCAAGTGCAGTGAGCGAGGCGGACACTGAGGGCAAGCAGAAGGCAAGTGGCGCCGAGCCCGAACCAGAACCAGAACCAGAAAACAAACAGAAGCTGGAGGCGGCCACGTCCGAGCCGGAGGGGGAGCAGTCGAGTAAGGAGGCCCTGGAGCAGGCCTCCGAGCCTGGGCCTGCTGACGTAGCTACCTCCCCCGAGGAGGAGCAGCTGAAGCCCCGCACCCGGACCTCCGCTGGCAAGGGCCTGTCTCGCCTCTTCTCCTCTTTCCTCAAGCGCCGTTCACAGTGCTCTGAGGGAGAGGGGTTTGAGGCGGAGAAAGCCAAGGAGGATAAGGCAGACAAAGAGGACGCATCTGATGAGGTAAACGAGGAGAAGGAAGAAGAGGTGAAAAGTGAGGAGAACGAGGCTAAAGCTGAGGAGAAAGAAGCAGAGGTAAAAGAAGTGGAAAAGAAGGAAGAAAAAGAACCAAAAGAGGAGAAAGAAAAAGAAAAGGTTGAAAAGAAGGGCAGTAAAAAGAAAAAGAAAGAGGCCAAGAAGAAACAAGAAAAAAAAGATGGGCTGAAAAGTGAAGAGGAGAAAGTGAAAAGTGACAAGGAGAAAAAAGAAGAGGCAAAGGTGAAAAAGGAAGAGGAGGAAGCAGAGCCGACTGTAGAAAATAAAGAGGGAACATTGGAGACAAAAGAAGAAGACAAAAAGGAAAGCGCTGAAGTTAAAGACAAGGAGGAAGAAGCCACAAAGAAAGAAAGTAAGGAGGAGGAAAAAGTGGACAAAAATGTGGTAAAGAAAAAAGAAAAGGATGATAAGGTAAAGAAAAAGGAAGAGGAAAAAGCTAAGAGGAAAGCAGAAGAAGAAGACAGGGTAAAGAAGAGAGAAGAAGAAAAGGCAAAGAAGAGAGAGGAAGAAAAGGCAAGAGAGGCCGAAAAAACTAAAAATAAAGAAGAGGAGAAAGCAAAGAAAAAGGAAGAGGAGACTAAAAAGAAAGAAGAGGAGACTAAAAAGAAAGAAGAGGAGACTAAAAAGAAAGAAGAGGAGACTAAAAAGAAAGAAGAGGAGAAAGCCAGAGAAGAGAAGAATAAAAAGGAGGAGGAGAAACCAAAAGAGGAGGTCAAGGTGAAAGAGGAGGTCAAGGTGAAAGACAAGGAGGAGGAAAAGACAGGAGAGAAGCAAAAAAAAGAGGAGGTAAAGGGGAAGAAAAAGAAAAAAGGAAAGAAGGAGGTGAAAGGGCCGAGTGAGGAGCAGGTCAAAGCTCCCATCGCAGCTCCAGAGCCCGAGCTAAAAACTGAGCCCGACACTGAACAGGCTCCAGATCAGCACTCGATAAGCAGCGCAGAGAACCAGGTGAGTGTGACACCGACACATATATCGCCAACACAGACATCCTTAGATGAGAAGATTGATACCACTCTCATATCGTTCTGTTCATCTACAGTTAGCTTAGCTTAGCTCCAAGACTGGAAATGGAGAGAAACAGCAAGCCTTATTGAGTCCAAAGAGAACAAAATCATCCTGCCAGCATCTCCAAAGCTTCATAATAAACACATGTTATCTTGTCTGTTTAATCTCTACAACAAGAACGTTTTGTATTACTGTGCCAGACTATGTCCTTTACGGTAGAAGTGACCCAGAGTTGGCACTTGGATAATGACATTCCAGGAGACTGCCACTCCTGGCCAAGAAATAGTCACGCACATTCATTAACCCCCTGCTGTTTTTACACTTTGGTTTTTGTTCAGTTTAAACAAGGGAGATAAAGCATGTCAAACCAATTAGTGAGCGTTCGAGGCGCAGATAGGAAGTATCTTTGGACAGAGCATGCTAGCTGTTTCCAACTTCTTTCTATGTTGTAATGCTAAGCTAACCTGCTGCTGACTGTAGCATCTTATTTATTGCACAGATGCAGGAGTGGTTTTGATCTTCTCATTTTATAAGAACTTGCTTTTCCCAAAATGTGGAAAAAACGTTTCATTCAATCACTAGAGTGAGAATTAAGGATGCAAAGACGTAGCTCTCATGTATACAACGATTGGATTGTAGTAGAGGAACACATGTTTTTTTCTTTCTTATGAATTGTTTATGATGTGGATGGCTTGCTCAGTGAAGTAACTGTGGTGCACTGAGCTGAAAGCTTGGCCTGACACAAACGATCCATGCTGTTCTTAAAATGCAGCTAGCATTAACAGCAGTATCTTTACTGTGTTCTATTAACGGTAGACTGTGTATTCATTGTTGAGCTGTCACAAAACAATTAGTCATTCCCCTTATTTATTCTTTTGATATGTTCTGTGTTTATTCTACAAGCAGGAGCAAAAGGAAGAAGCTGCCATAAAGAAGGAGCCTGAAGTTGTGGAGGAAGTGAAGGAGGAGGACACGGAGAAAAAAGAGGAAGAACCCGCAGAACAGGAGATAGAAGCCAAAGGAGAGGAGAAGCCGAAGGAGAAGGAAAAGCCGAAGGAAAAGACAAGGGAGAAGATAAAGGAAAAGGCAAAGGAGAAGACAAAGGTGGAGGAGAAGAAGGAGAAGCCTGTAAAAGAGAAGAAGACAAAGGAAGAAGAGGCTCAAGGCCCCAAACGTCTGAAAACCATGCAATGCAAAGTCACCTTACTGGACGACACTCAGTTTGAGTGCGAGCTTGATGTAAGAGACCTCCCAAATTTCAGTTTCTTGAATGTTTATACCAATGGCTACTACCCGCGTTAAAGAATCAAATGGTGATGTTATCTAAATAATCTCCTTCTCCCTGTTTGTCTGTCTCTCTTTCGTTCTTGTGTAGAAACATGCTAAAGCCCAAGAACTTCTTACAAAGGTGTGCGACCATGTCAACCTGCTGGAGAGGGACTACTTTGGCCTCGCCAACTGGGAAAACCCATCCACCTGTGTAGGTTTTTCTACTCCCTGCAGTAAAGTTACTCTGCAAAAGCATAACCCTTTATTATGAATGACAATGAAATTGGCTGTGAGCAGTTGTTTATTTTTTACCCCACATGTGTTTCGCAGACATGGATGGAGTCTACCAAAGAGATCCGGAAACAGGTTCCAGGCGCTGTGTATGAGTTTACATTCAGCGTCAAGTTCTACCCTCATGATCCAGCCCAGCTTACCGAAGACCTCACCAGGTGAATATCTATTAATAAAGGAATAGTTGGATTTTGGAAAATATGCTTATTCTATGTGATTTAACATGTTATTCGGAGAGGTGCTGGTAAGCGGATTGTTCTTAAGGACAGAGCCAGGCTACTCTTCTTCCAGTCTTTATGCTAAGCTAAGCTAGCATTATACAAAAAATACCTTAACGTAGCTTTCAGCTTCACAGCTATGTCGAAAGCTTGAGTTTCCAACAACAATATAGTCAATTCAGAATATACTTTTCAAATCTTCATAAGTGAGCTAATTGTTGTCCATTCACGTCTTCTTCAGGTACTTTCTGTGTGTCCAGCTGAGGAAGGACATCATGCGAGCTGTTCTTCCCTGTTCCTTTGTCACACTGTCCATGCTGGGCTCCTACACAGCCCAGTCAGAGCTCGGAGAGTATGACCCAGAGCTCCATGGAGAGAATTATGTAAGTGATCTGAGCCTGGCCCCCGGACAGAGCAAAGAGCTGGAGGATAAGGTGATGGAGCTGCACCGCACATACAGGTAATCAATGGGGGAAATTGGAGCCACAAAGTGATGGCAATCTGTAGCCTGAAGTTAAGTTTCATCAAGTTTGAGTTGGAATTCAAATAATCATTCTATTAAAATGTAATATAACTATGATCTGTCTTTTTCCAGGGCAATGACCCCAGCCCAGGCAGACTTGATGTTTCTGGAAAATGCCAAGAAACTCGCCATGTACGGAGTTGACCTGCATCAAGCTAAGGTATTTTTTGTTTAAATAAAGTCACCTGTTTAGATCGGTATCGAGTTGGTAATCTAACAATGCAAGTATTTCATGGGGATTTTAAAATTCAACAGTTCATGGATTCATCGATTTCCTGTGTGTGGGTATTTTGCAGCAACCCGCTTGTATTACATCAGGAGCATCCCAATTTTAATTACAAAATTGATGTCCCATTTTGGAAAAAAAGGAGAGATTAATTTCATTTTAAACTGAAACTCCATGTCTTCCGTTGTGGGAGAAAGTCTGCCTCCCAGTGATTGTTTATTGTAAGTGCAGGGTTAGGGTGATGGCGTGCAGAGCTTCAATATCCTATCTGTTTCATCCTGTTTTTGTGCATCCAGGATCTCGATGGCGTCGACATCACGCTCGGGGTTTGCTCTAGTGGTCTGATGGTGTACAAGGACAAGCTGAGGATTAACCGTTTCCCTTGGCCCAAAGTTCTCAAGATCTCTTACAAACGCAGCAGCTTCTTCATTAAAATCAGGCCATCAGAGGTACATCTGAAATTACATTTTACATTCATTTGTTTACTATATTCTAAATTAAATTGTTTCCCTTGTTTTTTTTATTTACTACATTATTTATTACAATTATAATTTAATTTTTTGATTAAAACGCTTTTATTGTAATTTGTACATTATTTTAACTGGATGGGAATGCTGTATAGCTGTATGGATATGTATATGTATGTCAAGCCTCTATATACATATTTTTCTGGCTTAATACAGATTTAGTATGAGGATTAATACATTTGAATAATAATCCTTAAATATATTGCACACTGCAATTCAGGCTTTGATTGTAGACTATTTTGTACACTAGCATTTTTATTTCCAGCATTACATTTTTTGTAATGTACAGTATATCAAATGTTTCTAAGATTTTAACTTAAGAAATGGTCTTTTAGAATTAGAACAAATATTCATCAGGATTCACAATATGTTCATACAACCCAGCAGATGCATGTCGATGCTTCAGAATAATCAACATAAGGTCTTTATATTTGACTTTATTTTTTTGTTTTTTCATTTACAGCAAGAGCAGTATGAAAGCACAATTGGCTTTAAACTGCCCAACTACAAAGCCTCAAAGAAGCTGTGGAAAGTTTGCGTTGAAAACCATACCTTCTTCAGGTGAGTTCAGGTCATTTAATGTAACCACACATTCTAAATTACACTTCCTTGCCCGGCAACAGAGGTCATTTGGAGGTTGTTCCTATCCCTTAGATAATTGGCTAACTGCTCTCTACAGCTTAAGCCCTATATTGGCTCCCTGGCACTTTAACCACAGAAGCAAAGCTGCATGCCCATGGTCATGACCTTAGAATTAAACCTCAAAGGGTTTGTCTACTTAGTAAGATGAAGTTCGAAGCTGATGCTGACCTTTTTGCATAACGGACAATTTTAAGGGAATGCAAAATCCTTTCATGTTAAATTATGTAATTTACATTTATATTCCTGGTGCGTGGGTCTGTCACAGAAATGAAATTGGAAAATGTATTTAATGTTGAGTGGATGAAAATGAAGTGTTTTTGTCTTTCAGAGTGCCAACTGTGGAGCCGCCCGCATCGCGCCGCTTCCTCGTCTTGGGCTCTAAGTTCCGGTACAGCGGGCGCACCCAGGCCCAGACCCGCCAGGCCAGCTCCTTGATCGACCGCCCAGCCCCTCGCTTCACACGCTCGGCGAGCAAGAGGCTCTCCCGCAACCTGGATGGAGGTATGTGCCACTGTGTGAACCTGTGTTGGAATGATTGTTTAAGAGCGCAGGTTCGATAAGCTGCCTTCTGACTTGTTTCGCTCTTGCAGCTGGAGATGAAACTCTCCAGCTCCTGCAACACCTCTCAGCTTCCACCAGGTCTGATGTGGATGATTGGTTGCTGATGCTGACATCTGACAAACCCCAGCCTTCTCCTGAACTCCCAGGTACCAGGAACTGTGTGGAGCCGCACCAACGCTTTCTGGCATATTTGCTGCTTTTATAGCCTCATCCCATATATTAACATGCTCATTCGTTTGGCTCATTTGCTATCATGCCCGTAATCCTCTTGAACACATTGCCTGTCAGCTGCGGGACAGAGGGTTTACTTGTCAGGATGCTGACTTACTCTGACATGTGGGTAATGTCATACACCTAGTACTTCCCCTGGCATCATCCCAGGGTCATTAAGCTCTCTTTCTAAAATAATACATAATAGGATTCCTCGAAGACTCAAATACACACAGGCATTTTCAGTCTTGAGGCAGGTTCCTAATTTTTTGGGCATTTTCTGAAGTTGCTGTTGTCATGTTTTGTCATCTTAACTGACTGACTCATTTAAAAGGTAAAAAGTACTTTTTGCAAAAGTTTTGCCATTTTCACCTGCTCTCGTTGTGAAGGATGAGAGGCATCTTCCATTCAGCTTTCTACTAACCTGAGCTTACTTGAATTACAAGAGTCTCGTACAAACGCTTGGCATCTGCTTTGGTCCAAAACACGCTTGAAGCACTGTGAAGCATCACAATGACAGTCATCTCTCCCAGCAAAACCTTTGCACAACAGTCATCACTCGGTCATTTCTTCACAGCCAGGGGGGAGTCTGAGCAGATTCCCATTCAGGAGCAGGAGCAGTCTGTTCACACAGTCTCATGGCAGGACACTGGGACTGGGCAGACTGGCTCTCAGACCATCACCCAGACAGTCAGTCAGCCAGGGCAGGAGCTGACATCTGACAAGCAACAGCAGAGGGGAAAAGAGGACGAGTGGTCTGCCCTGCTCGGGCGATATCCTCCTTTTCCCTTTGTCTCACCTCTTGATTTAGCAAAACAGCCAGGTATTTGCACATCTAATGCTTGCCTCAGCTTGCATTTTTAAGAACATGTGGCAAGTAGGAAATATAAACTATTAACAGTCTGCAATACGAATCATATTTTAATTTTTTGTATGCTTTATTGCTTTACTTTCCCCTTTAATCCTCCCAGTCTCACGCCAAGCTCAGTTCCAGCTCCTGGAGGAGGAGGAGCAGGGCTTGCGAATGGCGGATCAAGATCTGACCAGTGAGGAGGTCTTTGAGAGTCTGCGGGAAACCGAGATCTTGTTAGACGAGCTGAAAATGGCAGATGTTTTGGAATGGAAGCTGAGGGAAGTTAGGGGTTTAGAGGAAAGACTGCAAGAAATGGATGAGGTGGCAGAGCGACTTCAGGAAGTAATAGAAGAGGAACTGGGAAAGGAAGAGGTAGAAATGTTAAGAGAGGGAGATTTGGATCAGGAAAACAAAATGCAGGTTGAACGCATAATAGAAAGTGTTTTGAGGAAATCTGTGAAGTCAATGGAGACAAAAGAGGATGGAGTGGATGAATTGGAAGAGCAGATAAAGCAGGTGTTTTTAAAAGGCATTTTGCCTGAAGAGGAAGAGTCCCAGATCAAGCAGGAGAGTGAAAAAGAGATGACAGGAGAGAGTCCGTCTGATGATAGCTTGAGAGAAGAGCTGTGCCAGATAGAAAGTAAATGGCAGGACGAGATGGAGGAGAAGTTGAAGGCCGGATCTCCAGACGTCACTTCGGTAGTAACACACCGGAAAGTGGAGCGTAGGATTAAGAAGAGAGTGACTATTGTAGAAGATAGAGGGCAGATGCAGGAAGAAATTGAAGATGTGCTTGCACTGTGTGGTTTAATATCAGAGGAAACGCTAGGAAAAGAGGGGACATGGCGTAAGACCGTCATACTGGAAGCGAAAACTGAGGGAGAAGTTCTAGAGAGGCTTCAGGCTGACAGTCCTTCTCAGAGCGCAGATGGAGATGAATGGTTCATACCTTTTGACCGACTTCCGTACAAAGCTGTTTCCAAACCACCAGGTACAGTATGTCATTGTGCAGATAGCTGTAGACTTCTGCTAATCTCTCTAATCTCTGTATCATTTCCTTCTCCAGTACTATTTTGTGTGCTGTGAACACTAACAATTGAACCCTCTTTAGATTTATTAGAAAGGAGAAGACAAGCATATAAATATAATTTGCCATTTATGAAAGGCCTGTCTGTGCTGGGTATTGTTCTGGGTTATATTCAGGTCAAAGCAGTCTACTGAAAGTAATGACAGTATAGCTGACGGAACAAATTTGGTCAATGAAGATGTCCTAATTTGAAAATGGGTTAAAAAAAAAAAAAGTCCAACAACCATAGCCTTTGTAGTCTGGTGTATACAGGAATTGAAAGCCTTTTTGTATCATTAAAATGGACAGTAATTATCATTTATATACAGAACATTCTTCTTAAACCTCACTCACAGCGAAATAACGCTTTTAAAAGTAATATGATTTGCAGTGTTAGTAATACCTATACTAGTCAGGAAAAAGGTTTTTGCAAATAAGAATAACCAACCACACCCTGTCCTGCTTCTCCTAGCTTTTCGGCGCTGCATGTTTGCCCCGATGTTCAAAGTATTTTGTGTCTTTACTGTCATCATTAGTCACTCCCGTGGACCGTGCTCAGGTGGATGAAGGTGAATATTTCCCTTCAGAGACTGTTGTTACGACAGTTAGGCAGAAAACTGAGATTATAGTCGCTGAGAGACAGACAAGTGAAGAGGAAATGAGGCGTATACCAGAGATCCCCCCACCACAGACCGTCCCTGAAAGAGATGATGACTGGCTTTTGATGTTGGATGTTGTCCCCAGGGAAACACTCTATGTTCCACCAGGTATTGCTTAGGCCCTCTGGTAAAACATTGGCTCTCTAGTGCTTTATTCTGTGCTTGCTTGCTAATATAAAGGAAATGTGTATTACTGTTCTTTTTTCTGACCCAACTCTTATCAGTGTCACCCAAAGGAAGAGACCACATGGGCGCAGAAAGTTCTGTCTATTTGGGTGGAACTGCGACTTATGAGGAGATTAGAGAAGTTGTTTCTGAGGGGAAAAAGATAATAGAAGTGGCGCCAAGACTTCAAGATATCCCACAAAATCCAGTAATTGCTTCCAGAGAATCCACATATGTACCACCAGGTACGGCTAAAAGCCCCTGTGCTGCTTTTCAAACTGGCTATCTTGTGGTTTTATCTTGTGCTAATATACAAAGAGAGTGTACTTCTCCTTGTATGTAAAATACCGTCTCTCGTCTCTACCCATATCAGTTACATTGAAGGGAAGAGACCAGATGGGTGCAGAGAGTTTGGTCTCTCTGGGAGGAACTGCAGTCAAGGAGGAGATTAGAGAAGTTGTTTCTGAAGAGAGAAAGAGAATAGAGGAGGTTCCAAGACATCTACAAGAAATCCCACAACAGCCAGAGACACACAGAGAAGATGACTGGTTTGTGTTGCTGAAAGTTGTTCCCAGAGAAACATCATATGTTCCACCAGGTAATGCTAAAGGTCCCTATTCGCACCGTTATCACAGCAATAATCCTCAGCTTTGTGGACATCGTTATTCTTAATCTCCTGTACTGTATATATTTCTAAAGGTTTTTCATCTCTTTTGTCTCAGCTGCTGTTGCAGAAGTTGTTAAAGTGTCCCCAGAAGAACGTGTCGCTCTGGTTAAAATAACAACTATTGAGCGGAGTGAGAAAAAAGTTGTGGTAGAAGAAATAAAACAAGTGTTTGGAGAAAAGCAAGTGGTAGCACTCCCACGGGCTGTGAGAGAAGTAGAAGATGACTGGTTAGTGCTGCTGGATGTTGCCGCTAGAGAAACATCATATTATCACATACCAGGTATGGTCGACTTCCTCTACTGGCCTGACATAAAGTCTTAGAAGCTTATTGTAGGCGTCTTACAAATGTTCCTTCATTCTGTTTGTCATTAGTTACCATGGACGTTCAGGTTTATACTGAAGAAAGACTTTCTACTGTGGCTGAAACAATAACAGTAGAGTCCAGGAAGGAGGTCTTTGTTAAAGAGACTGTGATGCAGTGGGAGGACAGAGGACAGCAGGAAGTGTCCGGGCCACTCAGAGAAAGAGATGATGACTGGTGTATCCTGCTGGATGGTGTTCCCAGAGAAAGTGCCTATGTACCTCCAGGTACCCACAGCCTTGAAATCTCACACATTTTCCTCTTATAGAAGAATATCTTACAAACAAACATGGTGTCACGCAAACTATTTCTAGATAACTTGGATTGTGGTGTCTGATTATGAGTTTGAGTATTTATTCTGTTTGCTTTCAGTTTCTCTGGTAGCACCAAGCTACATTTATCCCAGTGTTCAACCTCAACAAGTCCAAGTGATAAGGGTAGAGCAGATGTTGCAGCAGGTTGATCTTGAACCGATTAGACTGCAGCCTTCCTGGCCTCAGACGGAGAGAGATGATGACTTGTTTTCACTGTTTGATGCTGTCCATGAAAAGACAGTCATACTACCACCAGGTACATGTCCTATATGTTCGAACCACATCAGAAGTTACTCTGAAACCTTATATTTACCAATTTCTGCAGCGCTAAGCTTTTCTTTGTTTGATGGATAGCGCTCAACTTCTTTGACTCGGTTTGTTTGTGTCAGTTGCTCCCGTTGAGATTATTCCGGATATGAGGAGGACGTTTGAGACCGAGGTGTCTACCACAAAGACTGGAACATGGAAGAAGATGATAATTGGTGTGGACAGCAGGCAAGATGAGACACATCTGTCTGAAATTAAATCGAGCCAAATTGCACTGCCGTCAGAGAGGGAAGGAGGAGATGATTGGTTTGGTTTGTTCGACATCATCCGTGGAAAGCCTGTTGTCATACCACCAGGTACCTTTCATTGCCAAAGCTGCTGCATACACTTCAAACAAGTTCACATAAACCCGACTGCACGCACACCTGATGCTTTCAGCCATAAATAGAAAAAATAAATAGTAAATAGTTAATCAATCGGCGTCAGTTATTTAACTTTGTTTCTCCATGTTAGTTGCTGTGGTTGAGCATGTTGTCCAAGTGGTGGCAGCCATTGACCAAAAACCAAAATACCTCATGGAAGACGTGAGGCCCCCCGTGAAGTTTGTGGAGGTTAAGACGTCACATCCGAGACGGATTGATGATGATTGGTTTGTGCAGCAAGATGTAGCAGCAAAAGAACCAGGTATTATTTTGTCGCTCCTACTGTGTGTGCGCTTTATATTTTTATAAAAATAACTCGCATGTTTAATATATGTTAAGTAGAATCGTTGTTACTGAGAAGGCTTTGTGTGTATTCTACATTAGTGACTGTGGACAAACATTTCCACACACATCCTGAAGTAAGACCAGCTCAAGAGTATGCAGCCATAGAGAAGAGAGCGGAGAAGAGTGTTACGATAGTGGAGCAGCAGTGGCAGCTGGAGGATGTGCTGCAGCAGGAACCGAGTGCAGCAGTGAGAGAGGTTGAAGATGATTGCTTTACCCTTCTGGATGTGGCCAAGAAGAAATCAGGTATTATTAGAGCAAGTGACAGCTATATATAGGAACATTTGATTTTTAAAAAAATCATTCTAAGATGTAAGCCTACTGTATCAACAGACTCAGCAGTCATTGAATTTACTTTCACTATAAATGCAAGTGTGTTCATATTTTGTACTTCATTTCTAGAATAATACCCACTTGCTTTGTATTAGCTGCTGTCCCTGAGCGCTTCCAGCTCCCAGCAAATGTGAAAGTTCCAACTGCTGGGGCCAAAACAAAGATTGTGATATCCGAGAGGAGACCACAGTTTGAGCAACGGATCCAGGAGGAAAGGCGTCCTCACACACAAACACATGTCCACCATGATTGGTTTGTTCTGCTAGATGTTGGCCTCAGAGAGTCAGGTACCAGTTTGGGTTTGTTGTTTGCAGATGTTTTTTCGCTCCATGAAACGCTTAAGCAACACTTGCAGCCCGTTCACAGGATGCCCTGACTTGGATGCACATTCATCATCACTGAAGGGCCTCTGGTCGTGCTATGTTTTGCACATTGAAGAAATAACGCTTTCCTAACCTCGGCATTTCACCTGTTCAACCACATTGGACTGCAGCCTAACGTCATCTGCCTTTGCATCTTTCATTGGATTCCAACAAGAACTAATCCATGCTTTTACTCTCAACCTTGAGGGCTGACTTTTCCTTTTGTTTAAAGACTAAACCAGGCTTATGAGGTACAGTATACCCCTGCATTGTGAACACATCGAAGCTTGTAAGTATGATGTGGCTGCTTGCATAGATGCGCTATTGTGTTGTTTTTTCATTTATATGTTTATAGATGTTTTACTGTGCATTTTACTCACTTGGGCGATTTGACTAGTTGGATGTGCCTACCGTCGAATCCCTCTACTGTGCTTGAACATATTTCCTTTTATTTACGTACAATTCTGTCTGTATTTTTCCAGTGGTGGTCCCACAGAGGGGCGCCCGTCCCGTCAGTGCTCCGGTCTTCTCCCAGGCCGCTCTGGCCGAGGCAGGGATCCCCTTTGCCATCCTGGAGCAGCCGCAGACCTCCACTCCACTGAAGACCAGCCTCAAGGAGGAAAGAAAGCTGGAGGTCACTATAGAGGCGGTAGAGCCCTCAAAAATCGAGGCTGAGGTCAAGGTATAGAATTTCTCTTTAAACACTGTCTTACACGTTAGTGATGAATTTAAATCTAAATGTGTGCAATCAACGTTTACCTTACAGGAAAATTGGTGTCCATTTATTTTATTATTTGTCCTCATAGCAATTGGCTGGGAATTGTTTGTTGTAGATAATGATAACATTGACATTTAAAAAACTATTTTGAATGCAATGGCTTCATGGTCTTCTTTAATGAAGACACTGAAGTAGCGAACAGAGATTGTCCTCTGGGTCTGAGTGTGAACTGTGTCTCTCTTGCTGCTGTAGCCAGCAGCGTGGAGGGACCAGAGAGAAGTAGACTCTTCACTGATGGCAACCCTCAATGGGGACATTCAGGTTAGTGTCAGACACTGGCCCCTTGCATGTGGCCCCTCACAAGACTTGTTTCCACTCTGGATCTGAGTGTTAAAGCCAACAAGCAGAGGATGCTAACATGTGTCCCTCTCTCCTCCCCGGGGTAGCACGAGTCTGAGGAGACGAGCACGGAGGTGGTGCGAATGCGAAAGGTCAGATTCATAGCCTCGTAAACGTTTCCGTAGCCATCTCTCCACCTCCATTCTGATGTCAAGCTTTTCATCCAAAACACTAATCTCACCCTCTTCTCATGTTGTGCTTCTGTACAGCTCGGTCTAAAATGAAATCCACATCAGGTTGGATGAACATTCTGTATTAGATTGAGTCGATTGAAAATGTAAGCAGCGAGTAATATGGTTGAAAAAAAGAGAAAATGCTTGCCTCAGATTATATGTTTTTACACAGATTATCTGTTTTTGAGTTTACAAGGCATTCATTTCCTCTCATTGCTTGCTGTTTTTCTTAACCCTGGAATGCACACATGCATGATTATAGATGTGTGCACTTAACTAAAAAGGTTGCATGATTACTGGTGTTTGATAACATTTCTTTCACTTTAGGTTCTTTATTTGTTTGTTTTCATTGTGCAAATCCTAAGGCAGTCCTCTATAGCCTTAGGGTCTTTGGTTCGTTAGCACATTGCCGTTCGACTCTTATACTCACTTAACCCTGAACTATTTTGCATGCAGACTCCTCACAGCTCGGTTTGTATTAACACTGTAGTGAATGTTGTAGTATGCATGTCCAACATATCTTCAAGCACACAGGGGAACTGAAACAAACCCACACCTTTTTTGTTCTTTTTCACAGAAAAGAGCTAAGAGAATTGAGGGTGACTCAATTTATATCAGACATAGCCTTTTAATGTTGGAGGTTTGTATCCCTTCTGGAGATGTCAGTCTCTATCTGTGTGTTCCTGCTCTGTGGCACGGCTGCTCTTTAATATCACGCTTGCATGTGGCATGATTCTCACTTTATGCATCGGCGTTTAATTGCTGCAGAATAAATGATAACGTTTGTTTGTGTGTTTTGCAAATCAAAGATGCTTTGGTATCCGCAAACGTGTTAAGGATGCTGCATCCTCAAACCGTCACTCTTCATCAGCAGCTACATTTGATACATTTCTTCCCAAGATCATCAGTATTCTCCTGTTTCTGCTTTTGCTCTTTTACCTCCATCTAATTCTAAACATGCTTTACAGCTTTTGACCATAGAAATGTAATTACAAATATACATTTTCTGTCATTTGTAAAAGGTATGACTTTTGGAGAAACACATAACATTAAGTTGCTCTTGAGCACCACACTGTGTTAAGATAAGTACTGTTCAGTAGGTCTTTCTCTGCAGTCTGTTTGGTCAAATGGGAGACGATATCTTCAATTGAGATCAACTTGGTGCTAAATGTTGCCAACTGAGAGCTGCTACTGTTGCTTTTGTTCATTTAATAATAATAATAATAATAGATTTAATTTGTTAGCGCTTTTACAGGTGCTCAAAGACGCTTTACAGATATAGTGACAAATGAGGTTTTCATTCATACTCAGGCTTTCTCTTTCTTCCATATCTGCTATCATCACGTCTTCTGCTCTTTAATTTGCAGCCTGTTTTTTCAAGGGCTTCACTGCTAAATGCTTTAAAATACACCATTAACTAAGTGATGTGCAGCTTGTAGCTCCTTCCCATCCAAATCTCAAATTAAATGTGATAAATCGTGGCACTTACTCCTTTGAATCTTCCTTTTTATACACCAAAATCTGCTCTCATGAATCAGCCACCAGAATGATTTACATTTTCAAAGTATGTTGTTAATCTATTAAGAATCCACATAGTTTTGATGTAGATGATTGAACCCTATGTTCCTTTAGAATCACCAAATAACCCTGCTGCCGCTGATGCTTATTCATTAATCGGCAATAAATCAACCCAAATTGTACAGAAACAGGAGAAAGCAACACAAACTGACTGATTTTCTTTATTCTCTCCCGTTTGATTTCCCAACTACGAACCCATCCTTCATCTGCCCTTTCCTTCCCCTATTGTTTCTCCCTTTTTTATTGTTGCATGGCCCAATTCCCTGCCCCCTCCCCCCTGCCCCCTCCCCCCTGCCCCTCCCCCTCCACACTCTCTGTCCCCTCTTGGCTCTCCTCCCTGCAGGAGTTTGATAAGCCTCAGGAGGATCTGATCAAGCATCATGCCAGCATCAGTGAGCTGAAGAGGACCTTCATGGCCTCCGCCCCGGAGAGCAGGCCCAATGAGTGGGACAAGCGTCTGTCCACACACTCTCCGTTCCGCACCCTGGGGGTCAACGGCCAGCCCGGTGCAGATGGGGTAAGTCTCCCACAGAAAACACCAAAACATGTATGTTGATTTAACTCCTGTAAGTCAGCCTGCTCAGGAATTGAAGCAAACATTTAAATTGATTTAGAAACTTCTGACAATTTCCGAGTTGTCTTGGTTACAGCTGTACTTACACATGCATCATCCTACGTGTTGTTCATGGCTCTGCAGTTTTAGAGCACTAGTGTGAGCAGTGTGCATGGATTGCAAAGGGAACAGAAGACCCTGAAACTAGCATTGATTCTAAAACCGATAGCAGAAGGGATCAGCTTCTTCCATTTGTCCTTCTTGCTCCGCTTACAGTCTGAGTGCAATGGATGGTGTGTGCATGTAGACCTATTCAAGGAGATGGCATGTGGTATGCAGCACATGCATGTGTGCTGTATGAAGAATGCAGATGGACATGTTGAATAGGGTCTGTACTTTGTGTGTGAAGCATCTCTGGGACAGAGTGTCCTCTCTGAGATCTGGCTCCTCTTATCTGCGATGGATGCCTCTGAGCTCTGACTTTGTTTTTATTGCATGACTGACGGACCTGACTTGGAAACTTTACCGCATGACTCGGAGATGAATTTTTGCACGTTCTGCTTACACTGAGCAGAATTGACCTTTTCCCCTCTCCTCTGTCCCTCCTTCATTGCAGAGCTTTCTTTCGCTTTTAATACTTTTTCTTTGCACTTTTTCTCTTTACACTGATTTTTAAATGTCTTGGCTGCTGCCCGCCCCAAGCCATGGTTGTTTTTACCTGAAAAGACAAAACCTCCTACACAGTTGTATCAGCAGCTTTTGCACCTGCCTCGGCTAAAACATAATGTCAACAATGAAAGGAATCCATTATAAAAACGGTGTCATTGCTGGTATCAACATTTGTGTTACAGTTAAAATATGAAATAACAGCTCTCTATTACACTAGAAACAATTTAGCTGAACTGCTGTCACACGAATAAACAAGTGTATTCTACTTAAGTTGATTTTGTTTGCCTTTTGGTGAGACAGTAACTGAAGTGCAGCATAACTGTTTGGACACAAATATTTGTTACACTTGGGGAAAAATGCCTCCAAGTAAATTATATTGTCAGGATGCATTAGGGCTGCACTGAAATCAAAGCAAATCAAATCTGACAGCTTAGAGTCTGCTGTGACGAGATGAATCAGAACAGCAATATGACATTGGTCAAATGTTGTCTGCCCAGTGGAGCGGACACACTCTTTAGCTCAATTTCAAGCCAGTTTGTCATTTTGCTTAACCTTCAGTTGTCAGACTTAAGCCCCTAGTGGGGGAGTTAACATTTGCACAAGTACAGATTAATATCAATGTGGGTTTGCAAGTTTTTGACACGCAGCAGCAGAATGTGTCCTGCTACTTCCTGACTTGCTACGTAAGATAAGAATTGAGTTCTTAGCTATGTTGTTACAAGGCAGCCTTACACAGATCAAATCAAATGACTGATCAAACACAACATAGCACTTGGTAGTTAACAGGTCAATCTAACATCCTCCAGCCAGAGGCCTAAGATCCTTTTGGCTGTACATTCTTCATTGTCCTCAGCTTACTGAGATCATTCAATTATATTTATAAATAAGATACAATAGTGGATGCATTTCTGTCTTTTCAGAAAAAAATGAATTGTTGGACATGGAAAAATGCCAGTAACTTTTCCATGATCTGGACAAAAAATAAGAAACAATCAAAATCCCATTTTATTATTTCGTTACAACGTTATTACTCAACTCTGGCTTTTTTCAAGATTCATTTAATTTATGGGTCATTTCAAAATTCCTTCCTCTCATCTCTCTCCCCCACCCCTTCCTCCTCCTCCTCCTCCTCCTCCTCCTCCCCCCCTCAGTTTGTCATCCGCCTCCCACGCGGCCCCCTGCTCGACTTCTACTCCAAACGCAGCTGAGGGGCCGTCTCGGACCCTGCGGGAATCCCACACAGGTGTGAGTGTGACTGGGGAGACGGCACCTTATCCATCTACCCATCAACCTCTCGCTTTCTCTTCTCCTCCTCTCCTTCCTACGCCTCCTCTGCGACATCACTGTAGCTTTCTTCATCTCTCATCCTCCAGCTGCCCAATTTTTTTTCTTCTTCTGGCATCTGTGGGACAAGACTTTCATTCCCTTTGTTTTGAACCGCAGACCTGGTTGCTCCGGCCAGAAACAGACTTGCACTGGGAAAGACAATCAAGCCATTTCTCTTTGGCATTTTCTACGTTGTCTCTTTGACTTGAAATCACCAATTAATCAATTCTACCTGACAACTGACTGGAGGCGTATAATGCCTGACCGTATCACTCTGAGCCTGCTTTTATACACAAATTGAGGTATATTTATATTGTCTGTTGTCTAAGGATATCTAGGCTGATCACTGTGATGTGATTTTTTGGATAAGTAAACTTTTTTCCTAAATCCACGTTAACAAAGCACCAAAAACCGCAGTGTTGTTACTGAGAATCTTTTCAGTATTATTGTCCCAGTATAGTATTTCCTGTGATGGGAGACCTCGAGGCAGCTTTATTGTGATACATATTAACCTCTTTGTCCTTCACCAGTATTTTATCGAGGCAGTATGTAGCAACTGCAAAAGATTCCTTGTTGCATGACGTTTTGACAATCAACTCTGACCAAAGAATAAAAGGCATTCCATGTACAGCTCATATGAGTGTGTGTTCCTTGAAATGGGTTCTCACACTTTTCATTGATAACAAATGTTTAGCAATACCGGTATTCAGTATCTTATTTGATGACATACTGCAGCATGCGTCATGTGGAAATCAGTTAGGAAAAGATGAAGGGATACACATGCTCTGCTATACAAACTAGTATTGTTATGCTGTGGAGTTCAAATGTTAATTATGTCATATACAATCTAATTCAACCCTTTTAAAAGCATCATGTTCCTACAGAGCTGTACAACCTCATAACATGGATACTGTTCTGTACATACTGTAATAATAGTTTTTTTTTAAAAACGCATGCATTATAATTTAGATAAATATGACTTCATATCATGTCAGTAGGAAGTACTTCTCCAACACACGATCACACAGATACTGTGTTGTGTCTTCTTTTAGAGCGTGTGCATTAGTCTCCTTTGCAATGGTTCAGAGACAAAGACGGCAAACGAGGAAACCAGCAGCAGTTTGGGCTTTTCCGGCATATCAAGTCCTACTGTGAGCCACATGAGTGAGCCTGATAGTGTCGAAGCCCGCGGCGTTCCAGTTGAGGAGGAGTCACATGATAAGGAAGTGGTTGTAGTTTTTGAAACCTCCTTGGTGCCCATCATAGAGGGGGAGATGGCGCAGCTGCCTCCCTCCTTCGACCCCTGCTGTAAAGCTTTAGAAAGGATCCTGGAGGAGGAAGGATCATGTCCAGAAGTGTCGGAGAGCTCTGGAAAGATAGTTGGACGTTCCCCAGCTTCCTGTTTCAGGAGCGATGGTCCGCAGGTCGTACACTGCTTCCAGGTAGCCTCCTGACCCCGTCTCCGGGCGACTCCGTCTTTACTTTGCCTTTCTATGATTTCAAGGGCACAGTCGCTCACTCCTGTGCAGCACTATCATTAAACAAAGCATGTGAATCTGTGAAGTGCTGTGTGAAATGTGCTGATACAAGAGAAAATGGTTGCAGCAGAGGTGTTGCACATGGGTGTGATCATAGCTACGGTGAAGGGTTGCTAACACTAGCACATTATTCTCTGGCATGTTTTGAACATTAACTTCATCTTTCCAATACACATGGCTTTTCACATCTCCCTGTTTCCTTTTCAAGTAGTTGGTGGTGGGAAGGGAAGTAACAAGGTGATTCTGTTGTTTCCAAAAATCTAATTTGGTGACAGAAAAAGGTCTGTTGAGGTGAAAATCACGCCACACTGCAAATGCTAAAAAGGGAATGCATGGTGTGAAGCACATTGCTGTGAGGTGTGTGGTTAAACAGCCACTCATGGGGCTATGCTCCCATCCACAGCCCCCTCTGGTGCAGACCCAGACAGTCACCATCACAGCTGTCTCCAACTCCTCCGCCCCTGGCATCTCCACCACAGAGGTCCCTCTCGTCCAGACCAAGAGCTTCATCTATGACTCATCAAAGGTAGGGGCTCCAGGACCTGCTCAGCCCAGATCTGTGTCGGCTTTAAGCCTTCCATGTTTAGAGGAGATATCAGCGGGTCTGGGGGGTCAGGCCAGGGGCTCCACAATAAGCATGAGGCAGCACTGCACCTTCCCTGGCTGAGGCTCAGGTTCACCTTACCTTTAAAAACAGTTACTCAGTCAACCTGTCTTTTTTTACCTCAGGAGACAGTTGGGACGGACGAAGAAAAAGATAGCTCAACTATGACCACCTCTCAGACCGTTACCTCGGAGACCAGCAGCGGCACCACGGTCACCACCACTCACATCTCAAAGGTCAGCAACACAATCTGTCTCTCTGTTGGTTATCTCTGCCAGGCTTAAACCTGGTGTGTGTGTGTGTGTGTGTGTGTGTGTGTGTGTGTGTGTGTGTGTGTGTGTGTGTGTGTGTGTGTGTGTGTGTGTGGTGTGTGTGTGTGTGTGTGTGTGTGTGTGTGTGTGTGTGTGTGGTGTGTTGTGTGTGTGTGTGTGTGTGTGTGTGTGTGTGTGTGTGTGTGTGTGTGTGTGTGTGTGTGTGTGTGTGTGTGGTGTGTGTGTGTGTGTGTGTGTGTGTGTGTGTGTGTGTGTGTGTGTGTGTGTGTGTGTCTATGTGTCTATGCAGCTTATCTGGCATACTATTGACTCATATTTTGTGTGCACCTAAATTAAAGTATACTCAATGACCATGTTCAAAGACATTGAAATAAAAAAAAAATCTAATTTCAATGTAAGTTATAATACCTGAAGACTTTTATGTTTGCCCCTGCTTTTAATTGAACTATTCATATCTTACACTGCACTGTAACTTGTATCCATGTATTTGTTATGTTTATTTGATTATCTTTGCTTTTTAATGACTGTTTTAAAATGCCATTTTATAATGTTTCCACTGCACTATTTCTTGATATCTTTCATTTTTGTAAAGCACTTTAATAATAATAATAATAATCCTTATATTTATTATAGCGCTTTATCAAAGACTCTCAAAGCGCTTTACAAATACACATTACACATACAGATCATACATGTAATGGTCAGATACTGTGGACAATACCCACAGGAGCAAATTCGGGTGAAGTGTCTTGCCCAAGGACACAACGGCCTGACGCAGTGGGGCGGGAGCGGGTTTCGAACTGGAGTTCCCCAACGCCCCCCTTGATCTGATGAACTTTGAATTGCCTTGTGTTGAAAGGTGCTATATAAATAAACTTGCCTTGCTTTGCCTTACCTCTCAACTATTTTCTTCCCAACAGGTAGTGAAAAGTGGATCTTCAGAGACTCGGGTGGAGAAGAGAATCGTCATAACTGCAGAGTCTGACTTTGACCAAGATATGGTAGGAACATCCTGCCCGTAAAACAAAATAGTATTGGACAGGATTTTTAAGGACTAGTTCGGCATTTTGGATTATACCATTATTTGCTTTCTTGTTTAAAGTAAAATGGTAAAATAAATACTCTTCTCATAGCTCTCCAGCAAAAAGGAGTCACTGAGCTTAGATTGACATAAAGCCCAGAAACAGGAAGAAATAGCCTGCTTAGTTGTCCAAAGCTTCATTATCTAATGAATATAGAGAAAAAATGACTTTATTATTTCATATAAAGACTAATAATAGTGCAAATAATGTCTGTTGCAGGAGAGAGACGGCGGAGCATCAGCATTGTAACTGAATCACCACCTGCATTTATCCTTTGGCTCTTCACCTCAGACACACACCGACCGGCTCTACCTGCGCACACATATCCCAGGACAATATCTCATAAATATGCACCTACCTTTATAGATGAATGGGTAGATACATCTAAGTAGATCCTCTTTGTTTTTCCAGTTATATGTAGTGGGGGGGCTGCACAGTGCTCAAGTTAGATCTACGGCTTATCTCATACTGGTGTTAAAAAGCTTACTATACAATCTTTTATTGGTTAAAAAAACATCATTTTCAGTCGAGTGATCTCAGTTATGTTTGCTTTTAAATGCTTTTATTTTCCTAGTGGTTTTTACATGTTTTGGTTTTATACAAATGCACTGTTTCAATTATAGTATAGACACCATTATCAGCATTTATTCCCTTGGTGATGCTGGGGGAACGTTAAGACTACATTCAAGGGAATTATTTTTGTTTACATGTCTATTTAATTCAAGAGGAAGAATTGTTTAAAACAAAATGACGTACCTCGCATCAATAAGTGAGCAAAGACATTCTGTGCTTAAATGTGGACAGTTGTTCCCTGCTCAGTTACAAAAACAAAAAGTCAAAAGCAAGTTCTTCCCTAACCAGCCAAGAACCAGCAGCCTACACATTATTGTAAAGTTTTAATCCAAAAATTGATCTATTTTCAAATATTTCTCTATTTTATAGAATTAATGCTTTTATAGAATTTTTACACATTTGAGGTTTTTAAGTTATTCATCCATCTGCTCATGGAATCGCAGGTTACCATTGTGCTGTTTACTGAACTTTGAGGTCTCTACTAAAGACCTGTCTTGCCTGAATCATTCTTATTTGTTTCCTCTTGTGGTCCACCAAGTTTATCAAACCTTTAACAATAAGACAAGGGAGTGCTTCCCTCAGCCCTTTGTTTTGTTCAGTAGTAGAAAGTCATATTTCTTTTAATATATTTGGTTGATAAGAAACGTTTTACAAGCTTTGGTCTGTTAATCTCAGGTTTTGATATTCTTTGTAAGACTACAGACCTCCATATGATTGTACGAGGAATGTCCATATATGTATATCCAGCCAAGTGAGGTCAATACATGCAAAGCTGGTTTGTCCCAGTAACCACGCGAGAGGAGGTGCAGGCAGCTGTCCCAGTATATATATGTGGCTTTTCTCTTATAGGAGCACAAGTTGTCTTTTTTACATGTTCTACTATACAGTAATTTATTTGTAAAGTAGGAACTGTTGTGTGATTTGATGTACTGTGATGTTTCAACACAAGCTGTTTTCCAGGCTTTCACTAGAGATGTCACAATGTTAAATATTGCATTAATTATCAACCAAGTTTGTAAAGCCTTTTTACCACATAGTCGAAGTAGATTACTCACACTTGCTGTTTCCTGTGCTTTTTCATAGAAGAGAAAATGCTTAAAATATATTAATCCCTTTTTAGATAGCATGTTTGTTAGCCATTTTGTTTTCTACCCAAAAATAAGCCATTGGTATTGTAGCTACATGGACAACAACAGAAACCTCTCCTGGAAGAAAATAGTTGTTAGACAATGGAAAATATTGTTGCTTTGTGACTTATCCCTGTCTTTTTATGAAATAATAAAATATGCATAATTTAGCATTTTATTTGGCGTTCTATATGTGTAGCATACAATTTAAAGAAAATATTTTTGGTAAATCAATATGTAATGCCATTCACTAGCTCCACTGTAAATGTTGCTGCATGTTTAATCAACACCAAAGTCTTGTGAAAAAAAAGTGAAATCTGTTCAGATTGTAATGTAAACATCAAACACATACAGGGTTGTCAGGAAAACATTGTTAGTTGCCAAAACAACATAATAAAACCACTGAATTTAAAGTTAAACGAACAAAGGAATACAATTGAAATCCACAATAGGTCCTGTTTTCAATAATTTTCTACTTCGAGTTTGCCATTGTTTTTTGGAAATACCTCCTGTTCACATTGACACACACAAGTTAAGGATTTGATGGTATTTAATGTTGAATTTCCAAAACATTGACTGACTCACTGATAGGAAACACCCGTTGGGCTGTTGGCAAGATGTTTTGTTACATTCAATTAAACCACAAAGCACACTGTGGCCTTCATGATCGACTCAAATGATTGACATCAATTGACGTTAAACACTTACAGGAGATTGACCCGTTGGTAATAGCTCAACGTTAAATATGGAAGAGAAAAATCCTGCTCAACTGTAACAGTGTTTCACTAAATAAGAAGTATGTCTAAATCTAAGCGTCTATTCAAGTTTGGGAAACTGTACAGGCATTTATTTGGAATATATTATTCATTCTTTCAAACAAGTAGTAAACAACAAAGTCTTTCAGTCCACTGTGTTCGTCGGGCGGCGTTCTAGCGAATTGTCTTGACTGGGCTCTTGAAACTTGATGCAGCCTGAAGTTGGAGTTGATAGGCCATTGGGTGGATTTTGAAACCATATAGCCTGAAAAAAACAAAACATGAAACAAAATCACTTTCTGGCAGAAGTACATTTTTATTTAGATACTAGTGGTAATATGATACTTTAGTTTCAGTAGACACTAAAACATTTAAATGATGACAAATAAGATAAATCTGACCACAAACAATGCCTACTTGTATGCTTAATCCATATGTATTTAAACTTTAACACTTAAAGTTTAAATACATGTTTAATATTCAAAAGTGTGTACTGTTAATGCTAGTTAAAGCTAATACTAACAATACATAACTTGAGTCAGATCAAACGCACCTTGGCACAAACTGATTGGCTGGTCGCTTTGGACGATACTCCGGATGCACCATGAACAGCATGTGGGGGAACCCCGTCCCAAAATACGCTCCATCTGTGTGGTGGTGTCTGGAGGATTTGGGTGTGTAAACATCCATACACTTTGGGCAGTAAAGCTTCACCATTGCTTCTCCAGGGATGTCGGACAAACCTGCATCAGACAACAGATGGGTGAGTATGTCTGCAAATCCTCTAACAAAGGTCAAAGGTGCAGCATGTGCTTTGTGTGAGGCAGAACGTGTTAATAGGAAGTCAGACTCACCAATAGGAAGCATCGGCTGATTCTCACAATAGACTCTAGGGCAATAGCCGAAATCCCCTTGCTGATATTTTTCCAACTATGAAAAACAACACATTTCAAAATCACTGATGATTCATGTCATGGGGCAAGTAAGAACTTGACATGATTTAGTAATAACCTACCATTTGTGCAATGCCTCTGTTGGTGAGGATGTAACGTGCATGAATGAGCCCGTAGAGCATCTCCGCCGCCTGCTCGATCAAGTCACTCTGATTGGGGTTATCTTCCAGTTCCTCATCTGTCAAATTCAAGTGTTGACTATTAATAATTTAATTTATCATGGGAACAGCTACTTCCTTGATATTCTCACCTGGCTCCAGGTCTAGAATCATGTCCAAAGCCTGGCGATAGTGAGGCACCTGCTCATTCAAACCCGTCAGGTTAAACTTGTCCTGTATGTAGTCTTCATCTACCTGTAACACACACAATTGAAGATGATAAATGGCTATTAATGGTATGTATCTGTTGCAACAGCACATTGCTCAAGCACACTGATAAGGAAGCATTATGCAAAAGCTTAAAGGTGGGGTAGGTAATTTTGGAGAAACCAGCTCGAGTGCGCTAGAATTTGAAAATACACAACCGGACAAAATCTGCCACTTCCTTACAGAGCCCCTCCTCCAACACACACGAACGCGCACATGACCAATGAGGGCACGAGATAAGTTTGTGCACAGATGGAAGGCTGACAGGCAGGTAGGCCATCCAGTTACTTTAGCCGGCCCGGCTCAAATGATTGGTCGTGCTTTTTACAGCGCTACGGCTTCCACAGATGACATTTTTTATTTATTTATTGTCAAAGCATTTAATATATTCATTGCTATCGGGATGTTAAGAGCATTCCATGGAATATAACAAAAAGTGTTTCTGAAATAAATTACATACCCCACCTTTAACAGGATTACTTAGATCCTGCCAATGAAGAAAGCTTGGGGTTAGAGTTGTATTGTGTTAGTGCTAACTTAATCAGACCCACCAGTGAGATGCACATTGATATACTATACTGACAACACAATTAGTTTTATGTTAAGTGTTTTATTCTTATTTAACTTGTCTCTCTTTATAAAATGTGCTGCTTTTTTTAATTTGTTTTAAAAGGCACCATATGCTTGGGTGGAGCAGACAGCAGAGGGAAGTGGCTCTAACGAGGAAGTGCTTACTTTTTACGTTTTTGCAGCAGTATTTGTGTAAATAGTTTTAACCTTTAATCCAGCCAGACATGAAACTGATCTCACACATTTGTTTCCGGCCTAATGTGAAACCACACTGACACCAAATAGTTTATGACTGTTGGTTTAAAAAAAAAAATACGGTTGCTATATGCAGGTTTACATATAAACACCCCTGCAGATCTTTTCTTAACACATTGAGGCTTGCGTGTCTGATGCGGCTGTTTGCATATGCAATGCAAATGTCCTCTCTGTGGGACTAATAAAGGTATTCTGATTCTGATAGATGTGCTATTGTGTGCCAAGTGTATATACATGTTTATAGGGTTATAGCTGCTGTTTTACTGTGCATTTTACCCACTTGATGGTTTGATCCTGTCAAATGTGCATCCTATCCTATACCCTGATAGCAGATGTTGGAGTTGACTGAGGTGTCTGTAAAGCAGGGGTGTCCAAACTGCGGCCTGCGGACTATTTTAAATCGGCCCTCAGCAAATTCAAAAAGTATAATGGAATATGGCCCACAAATGAAACTTGTGCTTGTCTTATATTGTACTTCTTAAATATAAATGTAAACATATATTACACAGTAGTATTCATGTGTTCATAAGACCACTTTTCAAATAAATTCAGTCAATTAAAGTAAACATATCTTAGTTGATAAGAAAGAAGCCAAATGGGAGTGATTAGTAAAATATGCATAAATAAAAAGAAATAATGCTAACTAACTATAGGTAACATAAGATAATAAACAAGTTTAAATGATTTGTTATTGGTTGTGATCATATTCTAAAGATGTTTGGATCATTGAAAAGTATACAGCTCCCTTTCATATGAGTGTTGAGAGCTGTATCCATAAATTCATGTTGTGCTCAAAGTGCACCAGATTGATGCATTTAACTTCAACATTTAAAAAAAAAAATCTTCCCGGGGGTGCATGCCCCCGGACCCCCCTAGAGGGGGTGATGTCCACCCCCAAATAAAGCAGGTTAAAATAACTAAATTGCATACATTTTCTTACATTTTAAACACTGAACCACAGACCCAAACAGCACACATGGGTTAAAGGTAAGCATATAATAATGTTTAAATGTGCTAAATATATACACTGCATAAAAAAAGAAAAAGAGGAATAAAAGTGGCTAACCACTTGTTTTATTTTTTTTAAGTAGCTCTCATCCTAAAAAAGGTTGGAGACCCCTGCATTAGAGCGTAACAACTGTAACTATAAGTATCTGAAATAAATATGTGTACTGAAACAAATACCAATAACTGTATTGCATTGATTTCTTATGCGCAATTACTTCATACTGTCTTTGTCTTTTTCGTCCTGCATTTATTGTGCCCCACTCAGAAAATAACTGGCCCCAGCCTGGCCCCCCCCAGTCAAATTGGTCTAGAACCGCCACTGGTGAGTGGCCCAGCCCTTCGTATATTTTTCTGTATATGGCCCTCGGTGGTAAAAGTTTGGACACCCCTGATGTAAAGTGTCCTGCACGAATCTGCTGTTCATTCTGCTGATGTCAGACTTCATTCGTGTGTTAAAAGCATGTGAACATACATTGTTTTCCCCTCAGTGTAGCTCTGCATTTTCGATAACTTGTTCAGTTAGTGCTGATTTCAAAACGAGGCTGTAAAATGTAGATTGTATATTAATAATGCGGGGGACTAACCTCACAAAAGAACTCATTCCCTCTGAGTCCACAGAACCAGGAGATCCAGGACACCTCCTCTGAGCTGCTCATCCTCCTGACAAAACAACAATAATCATGTACATCTTCACTATGGCTAACAGCTAAAACCGGCAGTTCATATCCTTGAGATGTGGACTTTATAAACACAGATTTAACTTGTTTCAAACAAACTCAATCTGTCCTTTCTTGGACTTAGAACAAAAGTGTTATTGCTAATGTTCAATATACCTTGGAGTTTGTTTGCCTATCTAACCTGCTGCTAACGTTAGCTTAATTGCTAGCATTCGTTAGCGTGAAAACACATCGTACAGATAGATATTGCTGACATTAATTGTAACTGCAAACTGTCTTTAAACATAGTTTCTCATGCATGTGTATATTTGTTTCCAGCAAGTCAGTTTTACTCACCTTTCTCTATATTAGTTACCACATTAACCTGCAAGCTTAGCTAGTTTATCCTCGCTCCCCGGATGACATGCACGTCGTTTACCGGTCAGCCGCATTTTTCAAAATAAAGTTCTTCATGACAACTCAAAGAAAGACCAGCACAGAAAAGGAAAATGCGATTGATGTTAACTAATTTTTGGCATTGACCATCACAAAATACAATTCTCGTTACATTTTATGTGAAAAACATGAACAAACTTCACTTTTCTTCACCTTCACTTTTTTATAAATTTAAAACAAAGTAAGGGTAACGTAGAATGTAGGATTTTTCAATCTGGGTGGGCATTGTCTTTTTTAATATGATCAAATGTTTACTTTATCTTATGAAAGAGAGTGTTATTCCTTTATTTATTAAAGAAACATGTTGGTATTTTTGACTAAGATTATAAGGGTATGTATATCCATTAATCAATATGTCATGTTTTGTATTTAAGCAGCTAAACCACATAATATAGATCTACAGGTTTATGGTACGATGGCATTTACAAGTAATTAGTTGGCTCAAAGAAATCTGTTCTGTGGTCACAATCAGACAAGGCAGAATGCAGAAAAGTTGTGGTAGATTATTTAGTTTTTTATTTAAATTAAAAAAAACATTTGCACATTTGAACAATATATTTGTATTTATTTTGACATGCATTTTAAAGCATTTAGATCTAGGTTATGTTTTAATCTGGTAGATTTGAATACTTTATAAAAAAACATTTGCACATTTCAACAATTTGTTTGATGTTGTCCTTTCTATTGACATGCATTTTGCAGCATTTAATCCTGGGTTATGTTTTAATATAAAAATACTTGATGGAGAACTCCATCATGGCAGGTCTGCAAAGGTTTTGCGAGAAGGCGGTGCAACATCTTTCTTGTCCTGTTCCTTTCCCATGCCTTCAAACATCAAGATCCTTTAATGTAAAACACAACATGTCAGTTACTATAATGTACGACATTTCTATTCATGTTTTAACTTTAGACACAATAGAGATTACTCTTTGCATTAAAACAATGAACATCACATGACACAGATCAAACAGATACTTTAAATGCTTTTCACACTGAACACATTGTTGCATTTTAATTTATATATTGTGATTAAAACTCACGTGGATTTTTAGCAGTTTTATCAGCTAGATCAAGGATTAAGGATCATCATCAAAAATAGCTTCAATTATTTTTTTTAATCATTTTGTACTTAATCTCCCTCCTTATGACCAATTTTCTGAATGTTCTGACTTACAGTTTGAGAATTGCATTTTTTTTCCCAAGCATCATATTCAGGAAGTCGTTGTAGCTTATCGTTTCTTTAGATGTATCTCCAACCACCTCTGACATCATCTTTTTCAGCTCTAGGTGAGTCTTGGCCAATCCAAGTTTTTCCAGCATTTGTTTTAACCCCATTAAAGCTATAAAGATCAAAGACAGCCAATACATTCAAAGTGCTTAAATAGTATGAATATGTTAAGATGTTGTGAGTCATTACTGAGAGCAAGAGTTGCAAACTGTAGCAAAAAATATTTGAGGGTTTTATGATCGGTGGCGTTTTACCTATTTCTCCTTGGTCGTTTAGATCAAACTCCATGTACTTCTCTGTGATAAAAGCAAATGTAATTGTATTGAAATCTTTGCGCTAAATGATAAGACCATTTACTGATAAACGATTGGCAGCCTTTGAATACTCACTTTTAAACATTTCAAGCTTTGAGCTAAGGTCTTCCTCTTCAGCATGCTGGGGGTCTGACAGATAAGTCTAAGGGTGATAATAAAAAATAAAAACAATAAAACTGACATTAGTTTGATATTGCACATATGTCAGGCCCTTGTGGGTAGAAAAACTATACAAATATCGCTTTTGAAATTGGCTGACTTTGTCTAAAGATATCAACACACCTCATTTATAGACAGCAGTCTTTCTTCCTGTTGAGACTTGAGAAGACCATAGGCTTTACCTCCTGTGAAACAACATAAAAGACAACATTTAAAAAAGTCAACTGACAAACATATTTGGAAAAAAAAGTCAAACTGACCTTGAGCATTGTGGTCCATTTCTGTGCACTGTGCTGAGAGGATGTGAACACTGGAAGTGTGAAAAGCTATGATGGCGTTTCTCTTTATCAAGCCACAAGAGGAAGTGAAGTTACAAAGTTTCAGTTTGCATTAGTGACATTCCTCTGTTGTATTTAAGGCGACAGTAAAACAAAGGTCAGTTGGGTCAGGTCGGAATGCCCATCATAACATTGACACACACTGAATTTGACAAGTAAGAAAAAAACCCTGTTGTATTGCAATAAGAGAAGTTTGCATGCAAGATACCTGATGTGTAATGGCTGGGACTATCTGACTTTACGGACTCTAATGCAGTCTATATAGAAGGGAAATGCCGCTTACCAGTTACAAGAGTTAAGATTGTAATTGAGGAAGGACGATTGTGTTTAGGAACTGAGAGCAATGCACGTTAATCATTTTTAGACATCTGTGTATAAGGAGTGTTTGAATAAAATCAAGTCTGCCAGCCACTGAGCCTCTTCACTGCAGCAGTTGGGGGTTGAATGCCGTGCTCAAGGGCACCTCAGTGATGGGAGGAGCAAGCTTGTTCTTCTGTTTCACTTACACATTCAAATGCAAGCTTCATAAAAAACTTGACAACACAGAATTTGACTTATTTAAGAAGCGACAATTATTCAAATAATTCTAGTTCATGCATGTGTGCCATATTTAGCCATAGAGGCTAATTTTCATCTGCAGTTCATGGCATTAAAAAAAGACAGAAAAAGACATGAGCACTAATACAAACACATAAACACACAATAGACAGAAAAACACGCACATTAGCACAAATAAATATAATAGGCACAGATCATTTGAAAAATAAGGATGAAGCCCATAGTCAAAAAGCTCTTATTTTCAATTAGTCAATTAGATGCAATGTCTTGTTTTTGCCACATGGTGTCTCTATTGGTCACATAATCAGGTAAAACAACAAGTAATGTTTGTCTCTGCAGGTAGCTTCATGTGATGATTTCTGTGTGACTTAGAGAACTGAGAATAGGAGTGAAAGGTCTACCAGAGAATAACACTTTGAAAAGCCATTCCGCTACATTACTCAGAAAATGGCACAGTTTTATCCACAGCTTCTTCTGCTATTATTGCTGTTAATATCAGAGTGCAGAGGTGAGTAAGTCTCTAGATATTTTATTTACCAAATTCAGAATGTCATTTCTTTTGTATAGCCTGGATACAAAATAGGTATACACCAATTGTGACTGTATTTAAAATTGAAGGGTAGCACATATCGTTTCCTTTTTAATAGCTGATGTAATAATATGTTTGACATCTTCCTTGTATTGTGAAATCTTGAATCATCTGCTTTACAAGTCTGACACTAAATGTTTTAGTGCGTGCTATATGAAAACCCTATATACAGGTATTTTTCTTAAATAATCCTATTTTTGATCTCTTGTTTTTTTTAAGGTGGCTCACCAGTGATAGTGTCTGCTTCTCTAGAAGACGATGTAGTTCTCCCTTGTTCTGATCCATTAATGACGGATAAGGACACGTGCTTTAGAGTCAAATTGATTAAACATGCAACAGATTCCAGTCAGATGAAGGTGATCCTTGCCAGACCTGAAATATCCAAATTCAAGGATGCTCAACGTGTGAAATGGCAAGCTGATAAAAACGGACAAATGTCTATTACGCTGACAAAATCACAAAAATCTGATGAGGGACTGTACGGATGTGAAATCTGGACAGGCTGGGATTCTATTCTTGTTCAAAACATATCTTTGAAAGTGAAAGGTAATGTCACACTTTATATCTTTCTTATTTTCACTCTTTTAAAAATATCTCCCTCTAAAGTATGACACAAATCTATCCTCTTTCAGACTGCAAAAGCCTCCAGCCAGTAAAGGCAGCTCTCAGCACCCCCGTTACCCTGAACTGCCCTGTGGACATAGCAGCAGGACAACAAGGACCCCCAAATATCTCCTGGGCAATGCTGAAAGCAGGCAACCCGGTACCTTTCAACTCTAAAACCATACATGTGACATCATTAACTATCGAGTCTATGAATGACAATGACAGCGGTTGGTACAGATGTAATTACACGCTTGATCAAACCCAGCGCTGCTTTGACATTAACCTACTGGTCCCAGGTAAGATTTTAAACTATTTGGTTTTTATTGCTGACAACAAATGAAAGTATGCACGATTCCAATGTACCTTTTCTGTTTCTTTCAGAAGAGGAACAAGTTGTTGTGGACACAGCGGTTCCAGGTACTGCAACAAAACACTAATATTTTACATCTTAATGTAATTGCATGAATCATTTTGTGTTCAATCTGCTATTGTAACTAATGGATCCTCTTCAGGACTGACAACCAGGGAGATTAATTTGGAAAGAGATAAGAATGGGATCAGTGAAGTATTTTTGGCAGTTGTTGTGGCTTCAGTCATTACTGCGATTGCCATAATGGCTGCCCTGATGGGATTGTTCATCTACTGCAGACGTAACTCCCAGACAGTTACACAGCAAACTCAGAGGCCCCCAGCAGGTTTGATCTATCTTTTATTTCAGTAATTTTCTTGAGCCTCCAGTTTGCTTAAGTGTAAATGGCTTTTTGTTCTCTTGTTGTCCAACAGGTTCTCCTATAGAGAATGGTGGTTATGAGATTGTGAACACCCTTTCAGAGAGTGAGCACCATCTTATATTCTAACTATTTTCTTCAGTCTAGTAACTATGACCGCTTTGGGTTTGTTTTCCTTCCCTACTTCTCTGACAACTTTTTCACTGTATCACACAGACCGTACAAACAGTCTATACCAACACTTCCCAGATGAAAGCCTGTGTACTTGTGAGTAACTGAAATTATAACTACTCTTTTAAAATCAAGTATATCCAAATAGACAAATAACACGATTCTGTCCTTCATTGCAGTCTGGAATTAGTAGTTCTCCGTCTGCTCAAGACATAAAAGAAGATTGACCTTGTGATTCTCCTGCTTATATATACACATCATAAACATGTAACATCTTCTAACCTGTAAAGTGTTTGTCTTGTGAGGGAGAGAAACTAAGACGTATATGGAGCAGCATGGAAAATGTGTACACTGTGAAACATGAACAATGCTACACTTTGAATGTTGAAAATACTTTAACACTGTTTTGTTAATTCATCTAATCATCTGTATTCATTTAATTGCAATGAAGGCCTGTTGAAGATTACAAATGTCGTTTAATATGTTATCCAATTTAAATCAATATCTGTTGGAATTTCAATGATCATTAAAAAGGAGTCATAAGAACTGATTTAGAGTTCTGTTACAAGAAAGTATTCTTATTTAAAACAAATGGATAGTTGTAATCAATGTTATACATTTTTATTATGCTTTAGTTTACAACCTGTAATAAATCATAAAAACTGTCTGTTGTGGTGACAGCTCCTCTTTCGGTGTGCCTGTGCTGGTGTGGTCCCTCAATATGTTTGTCTTGAATGACCTCGTAAATATGAGTCTGTGTAGAGAATATCACTGGAATATCAGACACAAAGGTTATTTTTATAATTGTTATCTCTTACCATTCCAATACTTGGCTGTTCATTTTCTGCAAAGAGAAAACAGCAGCCATTTAGGTATCATTTCATTATCATACAGTAGATGTACTAAAAGTTGTGCAGCTCCTTAACCGCTCTCACTACCTGTATTTGTGTTGTGCTTCCTCTTCATGTACATGTAAAGTCCAATGGCAGATATACACATCAGGAGGGCTAGAGGAACAGCTACCCTAGCGTTTGCAGAACTGCAGATGTGGAATAACTATCACTTTTAGTTTCCCATAAACATTTGTTGAATTCATTTAGGAGAAAAGGCAACATTAGCACAAGGTATACTCTTACGGTCAATAGAGTGCCATTTCTTTGACGCCATGACTCCCCCCTCTCTTTGTATAGAGCAAGTTAATTCACCAGTAACAGAAAGCACTGGGAGAAACAGCTTGTTTAGAAGAGTGTTATTGACATGTATTAAACCGCTCTGCCAGCTATTGTGGCTTCCTCCAGACCAAAGTAAATCGAAGTCTTTTCCGCATTCTTTAGAGCAGGTGAGCACACAAGTCAATGTGAGATTATCTCCTCCTGGCACACACTCTGAAGTAACTGTAAAGACAAACATGATAGAAAAGGATTTAATAGCAAAGTAAATACAGCATGCTCTGTATTGGCACTTATAGAGTGTCAATACTCACCATCGAGGGTATGCAGCCTAATTTTGCTCATCTGTAGAGTCTGAACAGTGGTGTTCTCCTGCATTTAAAGCCCCCACTTTGGTAATGACAAGTAATGAGTCTTTATTCAAATGCAATGCCTCTGTTTGGTCTCCATAAAGCGAGATGTTATCATCTGTCAGGGTCCTTTCACACACAGCCCACTTCACGCCCACGCTGAGGGAGGAAGTGTTTCTACATGAGAGTGACACTGACTCACCCACTGCAGTGAACACTTCCTCTATGCCATCTGAGGGGAAACAGAGGTTACATTTTGTGCATGGTAAACCACATTGTTTATGTGGAATCTGGAAGTGGAGTTTGGTACCTTTGTTGTTGTATAAGTGATGGTGGCTTTAACCATTTCATTCTGAGTCAGCTGGCGTTTCCATTTTCTGTGATGGTCTGTACGTTCTTTAGTGATGATCAGTTTAGAGAAGCATTTCGAGGGATATTTGAACTGAAATCTATCCCTGTTTAATGGTGTATTATCTTCTGTGATCCACTTTATATGTATCCCTTTGTTGTTACAAGCAACAAGTCCTCTATACATATTGAGGAAACACTGGAGTTCTATTGTGTCTTCCACAGGATTCGGGTTCTCAACAACTATAGGAATGAACATTATTAGTTCACACATGTGACTACTGTGATATTTAATTGAAATTGTTCAAGAATGGTTTGAGTCACTTACCTTTAAGAATCTGAAGTGAAACATTTGAATTGAGCACTCCATTGTCACAAGAGTAAAGTCGTGCATCACTGAGGACCAGGTGGTTAATCTTCAGAGAGCAGCCTTTTAGCAGGGCTACCCGTTCGGTGGCCGTCACCCTTCCAGCTTTCACCACCTCAGTGACTGTATGAGACTCTCCAGCCATGTTCCAGTTTACAGAGGAGCAGTGTTTGATTTGAGGGCATGCCACATGGTAAAGTAATGCTATCTCCAAGTAAGGCAAACATAACCACATTATCTGTTGGAAAGGACAACATTTTATTTTAATTCCCATGTCATGGAAGTTGTTTGAATAATCTCATTTACTTTGTGAGAGCACATTTGAGTGGGAAGTTGGTCGCCTCCATTATGAACTGATCTTGTTAGTAACCATGTTTGGAAGTAAAATAACATTGAAATTGCATTTGCTTCAGAATATTAGTAAGAAAAAAAAGTGTCATTTTAATTATTTAGTAATAGGACTACTTTTAGACCTATCTTTTGAAATCCTATAGTAGCCTAATTTACTTTACTAAAGTCACATTCGACGGCCTATATAATCCGTATCCGCAATATAATGAAGAATTGCGTCCTAATGGGAGCATTTTCCCCCCTAATTGTACCACAAAGGAGGTTGAAATGTGACTACTGAAATTAAGCACCAGTTTATGCAGCACTACAGTACGCTGGGCGACCCAAATCAAACACACCCACAACGTTTTGTGAACAGGTGCATGCTGGGTGTGGCTAGTATGCTAACATCTTAAAATGTTAGTAGTGTTTTCTGGCTTCTCTGGTAAACTTCTTTCTTCAGTGGGATAAAAGGGCATGCTTTGATAATGAACGAGCTGAGGAATTGGACCTGGTGCGGATTTGTGGAGGAGTTTTCGGTGCACGCGTTCAGAAAGGTGAGTACAACACACATGGACCGTTATATCCCTGCAAATCAACATTGCAAGTGGTTGTGTGCATGCTCTATTGTCTTTTGTTTGTGTTGTCACATCTGTATGTCACGGTAATGCATTAAAGCCTACTTTATACAGTACAGCAGTGGTTCCCAAACTTTTTGTGCCCAAGGCACACCAAAGGACAAGTACAAATCTCAAGGCACACCTATTGTGCAAAATAGCCCTTATAACACGTGTTATCACTCATATCATGTAAAATATCTGTAAATGTGCATAATTATTTACTAATGCCAAATAAAATGTGACAAAGACAACTATATTACTCATGAAATATTTATTAACGAAATATTTCAGAAATTAATTTGAAACTTTATCAAATTAGGCTTCATCAAAGCAGCAACACACTCATTTAAACCAGACATGTCACAAAATAAAAAATGAGGCAAAGGAAACTCAGCAGAAATTCAGCACAGAGAACTGTCAATGCAAGGAAGCTGCATTGTCCATGGTCCTGAACTACAAATTATAAATGTAACATTTCAGCAATCAGCATTGAAACATGTGCTATTGTAAATATTTTTGCTGACTTACAAACTCGTTACTTTACTCGCCGAGCACGTACGAACTGCGCATGCGTGAGTGGCAATAACTTTCCTTACCAGCAGGCGGCGGTAGTGTGTATTTGTCATTCAAAACAGGCAACAACCGGAAGACATATAAGAAGAACAGACTACGGCTGCTTCTCAGGTCGATTAAATGAAATCCTTGCTTCCCTCACTTGCGTCGTTTCCCTGCGTTTAGTCCCTCCCACCAGGGAAGCATGGAGGGACGCAAGGAAACCACGAGAAGCAGGGAAATGAGTTTTACGAGCAATGGGACGTCCTTTCCTCCGGAGCGTCACGTGAAGCGACGTCCGTTTGTGATGACGCTGCACAGCTGATCGTCTGACAGCAGCCAGCTCTGTCCCCGTTATTTCCACACACACCCGCCTACACATTTACTGACACAAACATTTGTATCATCTGTTGTAGATCCCAATAAATAAAATAAAATAAGAACTCATTCTCAAAAAAGATAAACGCCATTCTTAAAATGTATAAACGAACAATAGTTTGATTAATATTGATTAGAGTGCACAAAAGAAATACAATAATTGAGAGAAGAAAAAGAGATATGTTATCTATCAAAACCCAGTTAGATTAACATTCATTGGATTGCACACTTTGTTTGTTTGTTTGTTTGTTTGTTTGTTTGGATATGTAGCACATTAACATTTTAATAGCACTTAATGACTGACTGAATGGAAATGACAATAAATGAAAATGTAAAACGAAAAAAGCGATCATGAAAATGTTTCCAACAAATGAATAAAATGATTTTTGCCCACTTTGTTGTTCAGATATATCACATATTTGTAACTAAATGAAACAGGAATTGAAACAAAACACGGTATAAACTGAGGAGTGAGTCCCGTGAGGTTCATGTGTTTTCTTTACTCCGCTGGGAAACGGCTCTCATGTCAAGAAGCATGAAATCAGTGCATGCACTGCATCGTCCAATCAGTGAGCGATACACAGTAAGGGGGCGGGGCGAGTATCTGAGGATTTCATAGGAGGATGGTCTGGTGGTTCCTCGGTTATCGCTCCTCCATGATCGCTCCTCGCTCCTCGATCCTCGGTCCTCCGGCAGAAATAAGAGCCATGGGACGGTACTCAAGATGGCGCAGGCAAATCAACTTCCGGTGAGACCGAGAACCGAGGAGCGAGGAAATGAAAATAGTCGACCTGAGAAGCAGCCTACGTAATATAAACAAAAAAGCATGTGTTCTTTGCAGGTGTTTGTTGAGGTTTGACGTGGTGTTTCCAGCAGTGGATAACAGCTTCTGTCCTGGACACAGTTTGCACCTCACCGTCACATTCCTATTCTTCGGACGAACTCAAAATAATGGGCATACCTCCACCCCTCGAAAGTTATCGCTGACTCAGCCATGTTTATGCAGCACTGCACGTGGAGATGTGGACGCGCAAGTCGCGCAGATTACGTACATATAAACCTACAAAGTACTGATATAGTAAATACAAAAATAATTATTTTTGTGTAGTTGTATATTGCAATAATAACGTATGGTTGTCACAAAATCCCACGGCACACCCGGACTTGAACCACTGCAGTACAGTACTATATACTCCTACCCCCACCCTTCAATTGTGTTGGTGAATCCCTCTTTGATGCACTATTATTGTATTTACTTGATGTTTTGTGGTTATCCTCGACTGAAGAAGTCAGTCAACACTCATACAATTTAATTGAGGGATCTGTTCAATGGAAAAAATGATGTGCTCAAAAATTTCTTAGAAATAAGTATTTTATTAAAAAAAAAGTAAAACTGTGAAGAATTGACTAAAGTAATCTTAGTCAACTAAGACCAACATTACCAATTCATAGACTATCCCAAAACAAATGGCCTACAACAGATTATAATACATTATATTCTATATATTTACCAAATGACTGAAATCCAGCAGCTGCCTGAGTGAGAGAAAGAAGACAGACTCTTATCCATGAAAAATATGCCATCCTTCTAATAGAATATGTCTTCTCCTAGATTGTGTTGCTTATTCCAATATTGCTAAATCCTCTGATGACAGAAGTGTTTTAAGTCACATGTTAAGGAAATGAATCATTTTTTATTTTAAGACTGGCCCACAAGAGGCCCATGTTAATCTTTGCATGGTACGCCTTCAATTCTATAAAAAAACTGTGGCCACTATACAAACAAATGCCTACTGTGTGCTTTAAATGTAATATATCCCATTTCTATCACGTGTGCAAACAACAAAAGCCTCTAGTTATACACTGGTATTGTGGTTATCTTTCATCAGATTGATGCAGAACATAATTAATGTATAAATGCTACACACACTTTTACCAGATGTGCCTTGAACCAAGGGAGGAGGAGTGGTAACCTCAGAGTCAACTGGACATTTTCTTCAGGAGGGAAGTGATTTCACTTTCTGTAGCGCTCTCAGTGTTGGTCCACAGGGTGGTGCTGTCAGACTCTCTTTCATATATTCTATTATTCGATCTAGTAGTATCTTTTACCAGTTTTCAGTGTACAATTTCTAGGTTTGGAATCTATTTTTTCATTCAAATGCAGCTTCACTTGAACTGTGTTTATTTGATCAAGATATCCTTCTTACGGATCCTTCTTGTTTATATTCTAGGAAAAATGTGATTGATGACTCATATAATTTCCCCCCTCCACGGGTGATTCTGAGGCTGATTATTTTACATATAAAATCTTTATGCAGTTTGAATCGCCCTTTAACACTAAACAAATAAACAAATGTTTATATATACATCTCAATATAGATGATTGAATATAACTTTTTAACACATTCGGAGCTATAAACCCAATAACTGACCATTTTAATCAGGATATTTAATACCACAGCCAAATGTAAAAATGTGTTGATTAGAGACATACCAATGAAGGTTCTGTAATGATACTTACATTTAAAAGTTTGTTCAAAAAAGTATTTGTTTTCACAGAAATAATATGTTTAAGCAACAAGCAAGCAGTACACCCTCTGTAGTTCAGGGATTAGTCTCAGGCGGCCTCCGACATGCTACAACTGTGTAGGGTTTGACCTTGAGGACAACACTGGCAACCCCTCTCAGGTCGGGCAGAGAGGCTTTATTCTCAGGAGGGATGAAATGGAAATCTCTCAGCAAGTAGGCAGTGAACAGAAAGAGCTCCATTTTGGCCACGGACTCCCCCAGGCAGAGCCGAGCCCCCCCTCCGAAAGGAATCAGGGCACGGGTGGAGCCTCCTCCTCCTGCCAGAAATCGCTCTGAAAAATAAGAGAGTAGCTACTTTATTTGAGATCTGCTAAGCGAAAGGAATGCACTTCACCTCACAGTTGGAACAGTACCTGGTTTGAAGTTGTATGGGTCAGACCAAACTGCAGGATCATGGTGAGCTCCAAAAAGATTAGGAATGATGACTGTGTTCTTCGGGATGAAGTAACCTGCAATACTAAACATGCGTAGGAGTTATACATTTGCACTAATGCAAAGTAAAACAGTGTTTTCATCCATACAAGTGGCCTTTGTGTATACCTGCTGACTGAAAGACCTGATCGCAAGAGGACCAAAGTAGCTATGTCAATATAGTTATCTAACCATTAGTTAGCATTTTTTCAAATCTGGATCCAGATGCAAACTTAAAAACCTGGAAACAACACATTTATACAAATATGTTGCTTACCAGCTTTTTAATATATTCATGATTTAGCTGATTTGCAAAAACAAAGCCCATGCATAATTACTTTTTGCATACACTATTTAATGCAATTCATTCTTCATCTTAATGTATGCATTGCTTCAAGCAGTGCCAAGTGGGTAAGATTTCAGAATTCACAATGCTCTGGTATTGGACCAACAAACAAATATTATCAGTGTAATATCGGATAAACATGGGTTTTGGCAGTTTTCGAAACTATCTGTAATGTACCCACCTCTACCAATGCCAGTAAAACAATAGGATCTTATACACAAAATATCTCGGTAAGTAGCCACTTGTCTTCAATCATTTCATCATCACTGCACATGATTCAGCTGACCTGCTGTCTCTGATGGCTCTGTGTGGCACAGCCAGCGGGGCGACTGGCCTCAGTCTGAGCACCTCGTTGATGAGAGCACTCAGGACAGGAAGTCTGTGTCTGTCACTGTACTTGGGGTATCGTCCCTCTAGTACTGTGCACATCTCCTCATACACTTTGGTCTGCACCTGAAGATTTTAAAAAGAGCTTAGAAAGGCAATTAGATCATCGCCCAGTGTGTGTATATATACAGTGTTTAATGTGGAGATGTGCCCTGCCTCTGGCCTGTGCAACAGGAAGGCCACAGTCCAGTTGAGCCATGCTGCAGTGGTCTCTGTTCCCCCGATGAGAAGGTCCACAGTGGCCATGTGAACATGAATATCTGTCAGGCGCTGAAGATATTTTGTTTAGTATTTTTCATAGTACATTACATTTTCAATAAATTGTATGTCTTCAGTTCAGCTAACTTAATTCCCAGTGCAATTTGAATTGTGCTCCCCTAGAATTCTGTAATTTGTACCTACCACTCCATGTTCTGTGTTGTGCTGTTTTTCAAGGCCCTGTAGGAGTGATCCTGTGATGGCCTCCTCATGTCTTTTGTCTTGTGACTGCACATGTGACAAAGCAACAGCTGATTAAAATATATATAAGGAAAAAACAGAGCTTGGATACATCCACTTTTCTGGATGCGTACACAATGAAAATATACTTGGGTTTGTTACAATTATTTAACTTTGGCACTATAATACAATTTTTAAACAGACAAAACAATCTGATCTCCCCAAAGGCTACTATAGTGCAAATGTCTCATTTTATGATTGTGACATTTCACTATGATTTGTTGTCATTCTTTTGGCATCTTTGACATTTGTTTTTACTGACCTTGTAATTGTTGAGATGTTCCTTTATAATTTCATCTCTCTTGGCCACCTCTCTCAGAAGACGGGAAAATACAGGATTGGGCAATTTCTTTGAGAGAACAAATTACGTAATCTGTGAATTCTCACTCAAAATATGTTTTTCCTGTGATCTTTGGTCAAGAATGAATATTTACTGACTCTGAGCAGTGGAAAGGAGTCCAGAGCAGAAATCCAGGTGGAGCCCCACAGGGCAACAATCTCATTCAGACAGCTGTGCAGCTGCTGCAGCTCCGAAGAAGTCTTATTATACTAGAAAACAGATAGAAAATATAATTTTGTTTAATTTTTTAACATATCCTAACAGAAAAATGCACTGTTCAGTAACAGAATAGTACATTATGAATGCACTAATCGAATGTAAGCTTCTAAATAGGGCAACCAAGGTATATGCCACAACCTCAACTGTTTATTGATGCAAAGCAGATTTTGCAATCCATCTTCGACCCTCCGAGGATAAAACTTTGCTGTGGAAAGAAGGATACTCACTTCTTTTCCAAAAGCCAAAGTAGTGATGACATTGCTGGCTGCCACTGTGAAATCCTCTGAGAGATCTACAGCGCTGCCTTGATAGTCCATCAACACCTAAACAGTGAACAAACAATGCTTTGTCTTTTGAGTCTGACCACTCTGGAAATACCCCCAACATCTTGTTTGTTCTGCCATCAAATACAGGCCATTATGTGTTTCAAATAGTGCATCCACTGTTGTATAATTAGTTTCTTTTGTGTTCTGTACCTTTCTCAGATGCAGCGCCTGTCTTTCGATCACACTATGCAACGATTGCTGGCAGCAACGCTGCAAAGCACTGTGGACGAGGCGACGATGTGCCCTCCACTCCTCATTATAGTCCCCCAGAGAGATGGTATGCCCTCCCCCAGACACAATATCAGCTAATTCAAGTCAGGAGGGGTTAAACAATGATACAATGATTATGCACACACTGCAATGCATACATTGCAAAAAAGCTTCAAGCTGTTTACCTGTGTATGAAACTGGTCTCCCTGCAAAGTCTGACCATTTTTTCACCAGTGCTTCTCTTATGACTTCACTACTGTTTAGCACCACCATGGCTGAAAAACACAACAGGGTTTTGTACTATCTAGAGAAAACATATTTTAAAAAGTTGTGCAAAATCCATCAATCTGAAATGGGATGTTTACTTGTGTTTCCACATTTCAGGCGGTAGATGTTTCCATACCGCTGTGCCAGATTGGTCAGGTGAATTGGCAGATGATCATGTGTCAGCTCCATCATATTGCCTATCAGGAAGAAGCTGGGAGGACCTGGGAGGGAAGGAGACGAGGAGTGGGGGAGCAACTGATGGAGATTCTGCAGCAGTCCAGCTTTAACTACCGGATGAAAGATTTTGGAAAGAAAAAGGTAAAACGAAGAATGCATAATAAAATCCATTAGAACTCATCCAGGTCAGGGGTTTACTATTGTTTGGTGCTTTGAGAAAAGGTCCTGTTCCTTTTATTGTACAACCAGTTTGTTAAAAATATACAGTTAATGGCAACAAATAGATACATACCTGTTAACTTACTTCCCTTGTGGTTTTCCTTTAAAGATGTGTCTCTCTTACAAGTAATCAGTAGCATCAACAGCAGCAAAACTAGGATCACAGCTCCCACAGTGATCACTGATATTTCCATTGCCATTATGTGTCTACTTGCTGGTGTCCCTCTTCAGAAAGGTTGTCAGCACACTGCTTGCCCCACTTATAGTCTGCTCATCGCTATCTTAGCCAGTCAGGTTAAAACAATGTTGATGTTTTCACTCAAATCAAGGACCTTTGACTATTTTGTATGTCAACAAATCTGATAATGAGATGAATGCGACACATGAGACAGAGTGATAAATATAGCCAGGACTTCCTGAAGGGCATGATAACACTTCACAGTTTACGCAATGGTAAGTTATGTTGGCATTTGTTTTCTTTAAACCCAGGGTTTCAATTTTTAAATCACTGTTACAAAACCAAAAAAGGACACGTCAGACCCACATTAGCCACATTTATTCCAATGGAGTGAGACAGTGCATATTCAATTACAGTAGTAGTGGGGTGGCATACTGTGGTGGTGCTCAAGAAGGTATTACTCAATACACTGTTGAGATGGAATGGTCAGGCAGAACAGAGGATACAACATTTAAAATAAAACATTTCCCTCTCTTTTGGTGTATTTCCAGAAAATAACAGATCATAAAAAAAGGTTTGGAAATTGAATCAAATGTACTGATAGCTGTCGTTAAAGCTATCGAAACCACTGTACATGCAATTTCAGTTGGAAAGTGACATGCAGCAACTGTGAGATCCACTGTCTTCTGGATTTCTGAACCTTTTATTCTCTGTCAGATGTATTGAGACTGTCCTTAGCCATGGGTGGCAGGAGAGAACCTGGCCGGTCTGAACTTCATCTCAGTGAAGGCAATGGAAGAGTCTTTACCTTTCCAGTCTATCCAGACCACTCCCTGTGTCAGAACAGAGACAAAAAGTGATGTTAGGTTTTTGTATCATAGAAGATGTTTAAAGTTCAATAGTATATGCCCAGGTTGATGAAGTGTACCTGATTATTACTATTGATGCCGTGAAGACCGTTGAGGTTGGTCTTGTAGCAGTTCTTGTACCACCAGCCTCCCATGTAGGCCCTGGCACAGTGGATCCCCAGAGGATCAGTGTCCTTGTCGCGGGTTGAGAATGGACGTCCATTATGGTACCTCATGGAGTCACCTGAGAAAAAGTGACATTAAGGTATGAATTATTCACGTTTTAACAGTATAATATAGTTTACACTGCACATTTCACATTCAGTATGGTTTTTACCTGCAGTTCCAGTGTAGCCAGACACTGCAAGAGTGTAGTGCCTCTCGGCTGAATCAATGGTGAAGTTGGCGTAGTGAGCGTAAGCGGTGTCATTTCCAGATTGCAAATCCACTCTCAGACTCACAGGGCCAATACTGGTCAGGTTGTGAAGGAGCTCATTTCCTAGTAGTGGTAGAAGGAACAGTTGAGGCAAATGTATTCAAAATCTATATTCTGGTGCATATGTGATGAAAATAAGGACTTGATGTATCTGTACCGAGCCAGAAGTCTTCGCTGAGGTTTCCAAAACCAGCGCTGTATTCATTCCATGTTCTGTAGAAATCAGTTTTTCCATTCATCCTCCTCTGGAAAACCTAAAAACACACATCTGATGTTTACTATCAAATCCATTCTGCCATTTCCTCACCACAAAATATTCAGATATCAACTGTTTGTCACCGTCCAGCCGCCGCCATCAGTCTCCATGTCACAGTAGACTCTGACTGCTCCTCCCTCTTTTCCATCTGGGTAGATATCCACCTCTCCTGACTGCAGAGCTCCATTGAGCAGCTCCTGAGAGCACTCGGTAGGGAAGGGGAAACGCAGCTTGCCTAAGGCATGAAACAAAACAAAAAAACTTATAAAGCTAAAGTATTGGTAGGACAGATAAGCAGGGACTGTGTTAGTTGAAGTACAACACCTGTGATGAATTCTGTAGTGACAACAGATGTGTATTGTCCTTCTCTCTCGCCTTGTACCAGAACAATGTAGCGTGACATTGGCAACAACCCTGTCAGCTTATACTCTGTGGTGGATTGATCCAGGATCACCTCCTAATGTATACACATAAAAGCACACTTAGTTTGTAAATGTCATTCATTTTTTTAACTGTATGTGAGAATGATAAGCGAATATTATTCACCTTTGTCTCCTCTCCTGCCACCTGGTAGATCAGTCTGTAGCTGTAATAAACCACAGTGGATGTTCTCCATGCTATCACCGCAGAGCGAGTACCCACTTCACTGGCTTTAACCACTGAGAGACACAAACATATTTTTAGTAATCAAACTATACACACAAACTATGCAGACAATGGCAAGGAAACAATCCCTGTCCTGGTAAATGTATTCCCTTTTCTACTCACGATTAGGTGTGGTGAAAGTAGTAGAGATGGCCATGCTCTGCAGACTGTCCTTCTGACTCAGCACTTTGACTGTGTACACCGTGCCTCTCTGCAGACCTCTGAGCTGGTGCTCCACTGAGCTTCCAGACAGCATCACTGTCACTGTCACATTAGGAGCTGTGGCAAGAAGGAGAAATAATAACAGTATTTCATCTTGAAAACTTTGTTATTTATCATTCGGATAATATTGCCACACTCACTTTTAGAGGACTCGTAGCTGATGATGAAGCGGTCTACTTTCCCCAGACTTGGTGTCCATTGCAGCACAGCTTTGGTATCTGTCACATTGACAACTTGCAGATGTGTTGGAGGAGCGGGCACTGCAGTGAAGAGTCAATCCACAATGTGTTTATATGATTTTCATGTGTTACGACAAACAAAAAGTGACTGTAGATATTAGAAAATGTATCTAAGTACCTGTGGTCATAAGGGATGTTAGGATGTCACTCTGTGTTCTGCCTTGTGTAGTCGTTACAATGATAATGTAAGAGGTTCCAGCAGACAGCTTTGACAGAACCACGTAAGATTGATGAGACTCCACGGTCACAAAGCGGCTCTCCCCTAACAGAATAATCACAATTATCACAAAGAAAAAATGTACTCTTCCCAATATAAAAAATCCACATTGACGGAAATGTATGGATTTTGAGCTAAGGTGCAGTATAAATGCAGGGCTTTGACAAACCTGTGATGATGTTGGTGTACGTCACCCTGACGCCTGAGAATGTGGTCTTTGGTTTGGACCAGGAAACATTGAGGGAAGAATCTGTTACATTGCTGAAAGCCATCTCTGTGGCTGGCTCAGGCCCTGAAGACAGAAAACAAGGAGATTCTTATTCTCATGTTGCTGCTCCTGTGCCTGCTAAAAGGAAGGAATTATTCTTAAAATAAAAACGTCATACAACTTTATTTTACCTGTAATTGCAGTTGCTTTATGAGTCTTTGATTTCCTCTCAGCTGCAGAGCCATATACTTGAAGAACATATGCTGTATTTGCCCGAAGGTTACTGAACTCTACAGAGCGCACGCTGCCAGGGACCACCATAGAGATCCTCTTTGTTTCAGTTTTGCCACTAGCTGCAGCTGCTTTACCAGAGGCAGCAGTTGTGTTGGTGCTCTCACTCTGTACCTGGACTTCAGTTGTGTTCTTAGCTGTTGAGGCTGTGTCTCCTTCGAGCGCTACTTCTTCCATTTCCTCGTGGTTCTCTTCGTCGCCCTCTGTTCGGGGCTCTGTTCTGATCACGGTGAAGTTCTTGAACATCCCTTGTGGTGCTGACCATGTGACAGTGAAGCTGTAGGAGGATATGTTTACGACCTTTACAGAGCCTAATCCAGAGCCTAATCCAGATCCTCCCGCCTTCCTCGCGGAGTCATGGGTGGTTGATACCAAAGTAGAATTCACTAGATACTGACTCTTCTGTACGTCTTTCTCTTTCTCAACTTTGCCAGCGACAGTGTTTCTGTTGTCTACAGATTGCACATTTGTGGTTTCTACTTTTACTTTCTTGGTGCGTTTAGGTCCAGATGATTGAGTTACATTCTTCTCAGCCAGTGTGGACTGCTCCATGGTCTCCTTCCCTGTTCTGCTTCTGTTTGCTCCAACACCCTTGGTCAGAATGGTCACAATTTTAGCTGTGCTATTAGATTTCTTCACAATACTCTGAGTTACATTCATTTGAGGTTGGTCTTTTAGCTGGTTTGTTTTAGGATGTGCTTTATCTTTGGTTCCATCTTCAACAAGCTTATTGTCAGGTTTTTGGAGGAACTTTTTAGATGTTGTTTTGCCTTTGCGGGCCTCTTCCTGCTTTCTGCCCTCATGTTTCAACAGAACTTGACCAAGTGTTGGGATACTGGTCTTTTTGACACTTGTCTTTGTAATAGTGATTTTGTTAACGGAGGATTCTTTTTTAGCACCTGCTTTAGAATTAGCAGCCACTTTGGTTTTAGTGGTGGTCTCTTTGACGTCAGACGCCTTCTTCTGCTCTTTCTTCTGGACAAGTGTATTCTCTACTGTGTTCATTTTCTCCTTCTTGTTTTCCTTGTCTTTGTTCGACTGCTTGGTCATTGTTCCCATGGTTACCTTGACCTTTCCTTTGGCAGTTTCTGAAATTGCAGAGTAGAGGTTACAATTAAAGTATGAATGAGAGTTAAAGATACAATTATCTCACTTACAATTATGTGCCTCTAATTAGGGCTGCTCAATTAATCGTATTTTAATCGCAATTACGAATATGGCTTGCAACGACTACGAAAACAACGTAATCAAAATAAAACGATTATTTTGTATTATTATTATTACTTTTTCCTTTTTTTTTCAAATATATATATATATTTTTTTATTGGTTTTTCAGTTAATTTTTTTTCCCATAATCGAGCAGCCCTACCTCTAATGCTACCAAATCCAAATACTGCAGACCTTTTACTTTTAGGACACTCAGCTCCTTGTGCACACTTACTGCAGTCTGGACCGGTGAATCCCTGTTGGCAGATACATTTCCCCTTCTGACACTCTCCATTGCCACTACATCCATTTGGACAATTAGCAGAACATGGACCTGGGCGGCAAGAAAAACAAGCCAAATTACTAAATCAACATCTCTAATGAGTTCTCAAATATGATATACTACTCAATATGACTGAATCCTACATTTCTCTTTAATGGAAGTCATCTCTCTTTCCAGTCGGGCCACGCGTCCTTGCAGCGCAGCCATCTCAGCGTCACATCCCCCACTGCAGCTACCAGGCACCAAGCTGATCTTATGCGTCATCACCAGAGGCTCGCCAGGCTTCAACTTCAGCTCTTTGCCATTGTTTGAGTCACAGCCTTCACTGATGAACACCTTCATTGGTTTTGCAGAGGAAGGCTTTTCTTTGGTAGTGGTAGCGTTGGGAGCTTTGATTGCAGCAAGCTTATCTTTGTCAGCTGCATTTGCCGGTGTTGACTGAGTACTTTGATCTACTGTGAGGGCAGGCTTGTCTTTGGTGGAAGGAGATTTAGCTACAACAGTCTGATTGATGAGGGTTGTGGGCTTATTTTTGGTGGTTTTAGCACCGGCGGGAGTAGCCTTTAACGATGTTGACTGATTTTGAACTACAGTGGGGGTAAGCTTGTCTTTGGCAGTCTTCCCATCACTGGTTGAAGGTGATTTCATTGAAACGGTCTGATTGACCAAAGGTTGGAGTTTGTCTTTGGTGGTTTTAGCTCCGCTGGCTGAGGCAGACTTTGTGGATGCTGACTTAACATTTGGAGCTACATTGGGGGCAGGCTTGTCTTTGCTAGCTTTCACTTCACTAACTGTAGAAGTCTTTACTGTTGCTGTGGCTATAGTGGATACAACTGTTTGATTGACTGTGTTTGGCTTCAGGGTCTGTTTGGTGAGGGCAGCAGTGGTTTTTGGTTTTGACAGGGTGAAAACTGCATTGGATTTGGTCACGTCGCTTCCTGTGGAGTTTCTCCTCTCATTGGTCGGGGATTGAAAGCAGGGAAATGGGGTGAGAAGGAGGAGAAGTCCTAAAGTAAACAGCATTTTGAACCAGCAGCAGCAGCCTGCGATGGTATTGCCTTTGGTGGATTTGTATGTATGTTAGTATAAAATTATTATTTCTTCCCCAATATTTCTGTGACCACTTGTAAAGTGGATTATGCCAAGTGTCTCCTAGAAATGAAAAAACAATGAAAAAGCGAGTTATTACTGAGTTGAATGCATGACATTTTATGACAAATCATTTTAGAACTTGTTTTTTATCCAAAGAAAGGATTTGCACATTTTTTGTTGCCAGCATCACATTCACTGAGTTCCTTTTCACATCTTGTGCAAACTTCTACTGGCTATATGCTACACAGATCAAAAGAGACCTGACAGCAATGGCTAGAGTCCACTGAGAGAAATGTAACATACAGCGAGTGATATTATTGCACAATTTCTTATTTGGACCAAGAAACACATTTTGGCAAGTTTTCAGTCTTTGTGAAAGGTTATCTAGTCAAAAATAAAAGCACAACAAATATTTCTAAAATGCAGTTGTGCATCTCACTAAACATAATGTTTCTTTTATGTGACATTGTTTATTGAACAATCATAATCCAATTTTCTCTGAGCACCAGTGCAAGACATTAGAACCAGTAAACATCACGAGAAAATATATTGAATTCATAAAAACTAATATAAATATACATTTTTTTCTAAACTGTGTCTACTTATACACAAGACAAAATAAATAAACCTGAAGAATTGTAGCAGTGTTTAATCAGCAAATACTTAATTTATTGGCTTGCCAAACTGAGTATAAATCTAAATGAGCTGATTTGAAACAGGAAGGAAGAAGGGGACTTGAGCTGGGGGTCTCTGCTGGGGAGACTTTGCAGAGGTAACAGAGCAGCACTGTATAGGACTGTGGGACACTGTAAGTCTTTCACTATACAGAAGGTTACATAATCCACAGAACCAACGACTCATAAAACCACCAAGAGAAATATGTCCAGCTTTAAAACAGCAGAAAGTCAAATAAATCATGCTGTAAGTAAACAAGTTAGATGTTGTGCCATATAGCAAGAACATTTTTGAAATGTTTCCTTGGTGCACAGATAAACGGCCTAATCGGCTGCAGTATCAAATGAATGAATAGCCCCTTTTCATTCACGAAATATACATTTTTATATTATCACAGTATTAATATTGATATAATGAAGAAAGCTTAAGGTAAAAGACAGAAGGAATAACAACTCCACATCATCTTGCACTAAGACTAACATATCATATCACCCAATGCAATTAGTGCAGAAGGTCTTGTTAGCAGCTGAAACACGGTGTTAAACAACATGACTGTTTCAAACAAATATAAGACTGGAAATGATGTTCAACTCTAATATTATAATGAATAAGGAACTTACCAGAATATTGATGTTTCTTGGACTTTATCTCGTTCTTTAGGTTGCTCCCTCCATCTGAATGTAAAAGCTCACACAGACTTGTTGGTTATGATCAGGGAGGAAAAAGGTGAGAGAAAGTACCACCACTAGAAAGGAGGAGAGTGATAAAGTCTGCTCCTACTTAAGGGCCCCCTCCTCTTCCTCCACGCCTAGTGGTCCCACTTTCTCAACCACTATGAAAAATATTTGTATTGGACTTTAAAAATAGTTGCTTTTTTACACAAATATGAATATTAACAATGATCAAATACTCTCTTGTATTTAGTTTTCTTGTTATTTTCCACTTTTGTAATGTGCTATACATCTTGCTGGTAGATTTAACATTTTAACTTCTTCTGATAGAATGATCCAAGAATTGTTGATGAACACATAAATAATAAATCACATGCACTTCAACTTTTTGTGTGTAATCCAACATATTTTCCAACATGTATTTTGTAAATTGTGTAACTTTTTATTATTTTTATTATATCATAACTTTTTTTTTACTTTAATACTTTTGAATGCATGTAACATATGTAACATTAAGCTTCCTGTGCTGTAACAACGTAAATGTCCCCTCTGTGGGACTAATAAAGGTATTCTGATTCTGATATAATGTTATCAGACTTTTAGTGAACGTACAGAACGTTTTTCTCTCAAACACACTCTCAGCACATACCAAGGCATTTGTTTGTCTTCTTTCATGTACTCTAACACAAAAATAGCCTGCATGTTCAGGTTTGTATGGCCGATGACAGTTATTCCAGTGTCTGCTGTATGTAACTTGACTTATCCCAGACATTGCTAACACCTAGACACAGCATTGATTGAATAAAGCCGTGGTCTGAGAATCATGATTCAGCTGGAATACATAGCATAACACTGCAGGTATTCAGTGCGGACTCTGGGGGACAGGAACCTCTCGCTATATGAATTGGCTGTTTGTTGGAAGTAATGAGATGTAACTACGTGGGAGTTATGTAAGTGAAACAAGTATCCACCAGATTTAAGGAATGCTCTGTGAAGGCTATTAATCTATGACCAATGGCCACCCACTACCCTACCTTTTGTAAGCCACATGAAGACAAAATCACTGAAGGGTCTAGAGAAGAAGGGCACAAGTGACCTTTTCCTAACTTTACAGGAGAGCAAAAACAAAAGTGTATATTATTCAAGGTTTTTATATATCTAAAGATCAAATCAAATCAAGTTTTATTTATATAGCACATTTTAAAAACGATTTTTGGTCGAGCCAAAGTGCTGTACATATAATAATTACCTTACGGACACTATACAGTATAGCACTATAAAGATAATGTAGATATACTAACATCGATCAGTATTCAGTTGTTTTCAAAAAACCTCTTTCGGTTAACTATTGATTGCTCTTATAAACATTTATAATATTGAATTAAAACCTTGTCTGGTAACTAAAATAACATAATTTGCAGCAACTTGATCTCTTATTTCATGAAAATGTTGTTATGAATTCATAGTTTTTACCTGAGATAAATACATTGTAGATGCTACAAAGTATGTGATGGTCACACACAGTCTCAGTGGTAGAAAGTAACTTGGTATATTCACTTAAGATTTGTACTTAAGTATAATGTTAAGGAACTTGTACTTTACCATTTGATGCAACGTTAAACATCTACTCCACTTTTTATTCCACAACTATTGTTTGACAATTGTAGATACCCATTGTTAGTGATAATGTAATATTTACAATAATATGACACTTTTAAAAGAGCCACTCTGCACAAAGAGATCATTTACATGAGACTGTGGCCACACAAAACCATTTTTGAATGACAGCTTTAAGACTCTGGCCAATGCAAAGAAAACAGCTCTCTCATATTCTGTTGCGGTTACATGTACTGACGTTAGTGTGGGTATACAAGAAGCCTCACAGCAAAACATATTTGCCTCTAGATATTTTAGTTTCAAATGTGCTGAGATAACATGCTTTTCTTGGCATGTACATCATGTTCTGATACTGCAAGAAAACATACTTACAGTGCATAACTTCAGCATTGCAATGTAACAGACAATATTACTGAATAAAGTTGATATGACATTTCCATATCAACTTTCAAATAATTGATGCAACACATTGTGCTACTTTATGCTGGCTTTAAAAATGAATAGTGATGTGATGCAATTAGAGAAGAGAGGTGAAAAAATGAAGCCATACTGGTAGAATAACATGATGCACTTCTGACAATATGGAAGGGGTCGAAGATAAAGAGCTGCCAACTACATTAAAAATGAAATAATACTTTTCACAAACCCTAAAATCTGACACAAATAAAAATAATTATAAACACTTATACACATGCTAAGGGCATGCTCATTAATTGTAAATCTTTTGCAGAATGAGATGCATGCACACAGACTCGGTCATCTGTTTTATCTGTTATGTTTGTTTTATTTCCTATATATATTCATGTTGCACTGTCGGAGGAGCCTGTGACTTAAGTTTTTCATTGCGATATCTAAACTGTAGCTACACTGAACAAAAATATAAACGCAAAACTTTTGTTTTTGCTCCCATTGTTCATGAGATGAACTCAAAGATCTAAAACATTTTCTATATACACAAAATAACCATTTCTCTCAAATATTGTTCACAAATCTGAAAAAATCTGTGATAGTGAGCACTTCTCCTTTGCCGAGATAATCCATCCCACCTCACAGGTGTGGCATATCAAGATGCTGATTAGACAGCATGATTATTGCACAGGTGTGCCTTAGGCTGGCCACAATAAAAGGCCACTCTGAAACGTGCATTTTTGCTTTATTGGGGGGGTCTGGGGGGGGTCCGAAAACCAGAATCTGGTGTGAGGGGTAGGATTAGGGTTAGGGTTAGGGTAATGTTGTGAATCGAGTGGCCCATGGTGGTGGTGGGGTTATGGTATGGGCAGGCGTATGTTATGGACGACGAACACAGGCCACTCGATTCACAACATTACCCTAACCCTAACCCTACCCCTAACCCTAACACCAGATACTGACTGGTTTTCGGACCCCCCCAATAAAGCAAAAATGCACGTTTCAGAGTGGCCTTTTATTGTGGCCAGCCTGAGGAAAACATGACAAGGAGAAAAGCAAAACACCCACTACCAGACACACAAAACGTGACACAACACAATAATCGTGACATGTGCTTTTCCAACTGTGACTGGGAAAATATTTTAAAACACACTGATGCATGTCTCATTTTAAAAATTCTAAACGGCAAGGCACCCCCACCGCTCTGCACTTATATACAGCAGAACCATTCAAACAGCAGAACCACAAGGTCTGCCCTAAGAGGGGACTGTGTAGCCCCTCTTAGGTCCAGTTCCTTTGGTAAACACTGTTTCTCTGTGAGGGCACCAACACTCTGGAACACAATACCAATACAGATAAGGAATAACACCTCCTATCATACATTTAACCGCAATCATAAGAACTGGCTTTTAAACAATCAAAAATGTGAACACTTTTAACTGTATCAAGGTATGATGATATTTCATCTGTTTGCATGTTTGTGTGTTCCTCTCTATTGTTGTACTGCTGTTCCTATTTATTGTTGTACTGCTATTTATTTATTGTTGTTACTGCTGTTTA